GGTTATGTGTCGACTTTCGCGGCTTGAATGGAATCACGATCAAGAACCGTTATCCACTGCCACTTATGAATGAGCTGGCCGACGCAACGAAAGGAGCACTCTACTTCACGAAGACAGACCTGAAAGATGGCTATAATCTGATTAGGACTGCTAAGGGCGAAGAATGGAAAACCGCTTTCCGAACGAAATACGGCCTCTTCGAATATAGGGTAATGCCTTTCGGCTTGACCAATGCTCCTGCGTCGTTTCAGGTCATGGTCAATACCATATTCAAGGATCTTCTAGATCAAGGCGTAGTAGTCTACTTGGATAACATCTTAATGTATTCAAAGACTAGAGAAGAGCATACGACTCTTGTACGAGAAGTTTTGGAGCGACTGCGACGACACCACCTATACGGAAACCTCGAGAAAACGGAATGGTATGCACAGGAGGTAGAATTCCTGGGATCTATACTATCAGGAAAAGGGAACCGAGTATCACCAAAGAAAGTCCAGGCGATCGAAGGTTGGTTAGCTCCAACCAAGATCAAGGAACTTCAGTGCTTCCTCGGGTTCGCCAATTTCCTAAAACGGTTTATCCACCGATACTCTGAGGTTTGCAGACCTGTGACCGACCTCCTGAAGAAAGGTTCCGTATGGAGATGGGGCAGGGAACAGCAAAACGCGTTCGACGTTCTCAAGAGGAGGTTTACGTCTGCTCCAATACTCCGACACTACGACGAACACCGCGAAGCAATCGTGGAGACTGATGCGAGTGACTGGGCTGACGCCGCAGTACTCTCTCAGGTGTTCGAGGACGGTATTCTACATCCGGTAGCTTACCACTCTCGCAAGTTCAATGAGGCAGAGGTAAACTATGAGATCTATGACAAAGAGATGCTCGCTATAGTTTCTGCCCTCTTGACTTGGAGACATTGGCTGGAAGGGACGTACATCCCTATCCAGAAACATTCGGATCACCAAAACCTGCAGTATTTCACAACGACCAAGAAGTTGTCGAGAGGACAAGCCAGATGGGCCGAGAAGATAGAACCTTTTCGCTTCAAGATCCATTACCGACCAGGCGAAAAGAACGGCAAGCCAGATGCACTCACAAGGTGTCCGGAGTTCGCAATGGAAGGGGAGTAATGCGTGAGCAGCCCGTAAAACAGCTACTCAGCGCAGAAAAATTTTTCAGAAAATCACGGACCAGCGTAGAAACTGAGTCCGAAGTGATTCGCAAACCCGAAGAGGAATGGAATCAGTTGAATCAGTGGTACGACATACCAAGCGAAGAGCTACCTCAGCCATTACAGGGTTGGTATGAACAGGAAAGACGCTGGGTTCGGAGGATAGTTCCGGATGAACACCTCCCTGACTCAAACTTGGAGATCTTTGGACCACCGGAGGCCGCTATCGTAAAGGTAGAGCCTGCCGCTGAATGGAGTCCCGATTCGAATGACCCCACCCACGATGGTCGATGAGTAGTACCGGGCTACGCGGTCAAGCAGGTCATTGAGGAACATTATGATCGACCTGTAGCGGGGCATCTAGGAAGGGATAAAACCCTTGAGTTGATCGATAGGAACTACTGGTGGCCAGGAATGTCCACGGATGTAGCCAACTTCGTCAAGACTTGTGATGTATGCCAGAGAGACAAGCAACGTCGGAGGCACTTGTCAGTCCCTCAACCCCTAGAGTTAGCCACCACACCTTGGACTGATATCTCGATGGATTTCGTAGTAGAAATGCCTAAAGAGAAATCAGGATTCCGTAACGTAGTGGTAGTCGTGGACCGTTTCACGAAGATGGCTCACTTCATTCCAATGACGGGAATCAATGCGGAACAGACCGCTAACGCATTTGTCAAAGACATCTGGCGTTTCCACGGACTTCCTAGGAGCATCGTCTCAGATAGAGGAACACAGTTCGTGTCAGCATTCTGGACGGCAATTACGGAAAGATTGGGGATTCGTAGGAGACTCTCCACCTCATTCCATCCGCACACCGATGGCCAGACAGAGCGGACCGACCAGCATATGGAAGATTATATCCGGGCATATACGGCAGGAACAGGCAAGAAATGGAAGAACCTGTTACCTATCTGCGAATATGCCTACAATAATGCGAAGCACACCTCGATGGGGCAATCACCGTTCTACTGCAATTATGGCTTCCACCCCCGAACGGACTGGCCTACGGATGCAGAGATCGAACGATTAGATGCCAACGGAAACAACTACTTGGACGAGATCATCACGGCTCATGAGTTAGCGAGAGATACGCTACAGAAGACTTTCGACAGGATGGCGTCAAAGCCAGGGCCAACAGTACAGCGGCTCACTATCGGTCAGAAAGTTTTGCTGGACACTCGGAACCTAGGAGGATACTCCAAGTGGTCAGACAAGTTTACAGGACCATTTACAGTTTCGGCAGTGGTGGGCAATCGGGCTTACCGTCTCGAACCTCCGGTAGAATAGAAGGTTCACAACGTCTTTCACGAGATGCTGTTGCGACCCTATTGCGAGGACCCAGATCCCACCAGAAAACAGAATACACGAAAGCGACTGGCAACACCCGAGCCACAGGAGGCGTTGGCAGATGAGAATTTCCAGCCAACTTCGAACATACGACCCCATAGTCGAAGTCAAGGCCCAGCGATCGCTAATGACCGGGCTCACAAACGACAACGGAACAGGCGGGACTAAGCTCGATACCTTTCCCTACTTTATGACTTTTCCCACAGGGTTTTATCATAGAAGGGTTTTAACGGTCGAGGGCGACGTCTAGGAAGGGGGAGTAGTGTTACAGGAATCACGGAACACTGTTCTAAAAGGCTTAGGGCAGCGAGGAATACGAGTGACGAGTTGTGACGCGAGGACGGTATGGTAACGAAAGGACAAGCATAGAAAGGTATCCGGTAGTGTGGGGGCACGCGGTGTTACCACACTAGTACTATACTATTATGATGGCACGCTTACTATTGGGTGTCTCACCTGGAATAAAATAGGAAGCGGGGCTTACCGCTGTAGGCTGTTCTACTTAGGGAAGTAGGTCTAGGATAATAGTATGGCACAGCCGGATAACTGGCAATTGCAAGGTTCATGGTTACGTGTCGGAATTAGAATAGAGGACGGAACTATGCGGCGGCGCTTTTTCTATCTGGGGTATCTTCGGAAGCATTATCTTATTCTATTATCGTTGTGTCAGTTAGTATTAGAAAGCGGGCCTTGGCATAGGTTCCAACATGTATAAATAGGGCAGGATCCTGCGAAGACTTGAGGGTATCATCAACCATCGAGTCAAGGGAATCCGGTTTACAATATCATCAGTTTAAAACACTACAGAATTATCGCTTAGCACTGGCTATTTCCCCAAACAATATTAGTCCATCAAGGTGGAAGTGCATGAAGGCCAGTAGCGGCAAAGAGGCGGGCGCGAGGTGGAGAGGCAGCCCGAAGCGGAGGTGCAGGTGGGCATGGGGTGAGGTAGGTGTGGTAGTGTGGGTGGAGGTGCAAGTGCAGGTAGCGCCGACGGTACAGGTTTTTCAGTCTTCTTCTGCTAGCGCTCTTCCGCGGTGATCTGCCGGAGGTTTAGGCCGGAGGGGGTGGTTCTTTGCTCTTTAGTGGTAATTTGACGGAAATATAAGATGTAGAGGTTGGTCTTTCCCTATCATGGGGTAAATAAGATTTAGCTTGCTCTTTGGGACTATCCCTTCGTTCGTCTTCGGGGTAGTTAACAACTACCTGTTAAGGTAATTCTTGCTAAGATTAAGTCAGTGAACCCAACCCTAACTCCATGGAGCATTCTTACCACCAATGTCACGGTTTATCACTTATCTTTCGCGAAATTTCCCTTTTCTGGTAGCGTTTCATTACATAGCATGGTTAACTCACCACTACGGCGCTATCTCGTGAAACTCGGGATGCGGATTTCTTCTTAAAGTATCCGGCCAGCCTTTGGGGGGTCACCAAGGGGAAGGGTGTACTACTACCCTTCCCCTGTGACTACCCTATATTATATACATTATTTGTCTATACTAAACGTGTCATTGTCACGTCAGTATGAGTGTCTTTTTTGTGACAGTCTTTTCAGACAGCAGAACACGTGTGGTTGTTTTACAGTTTGTTTCTACTATAAATAGTAGACTTAATCCTCCTAGGACTCGATAGATCAATACAATAAGAATCATTGTTTTACCTCCTACTTTTTCTCGAACCAAATCAACGATACTTATATAACACATACCTAATATCTTCCCCTAGCATAGATGGTATAGCTTCTATTCTACAACGATGCAGGTTCAACCCACTGTTATTCCTGCAATATATTCTTTTTAATGGAATACTTAGATTACATACCACCTTGATCAACTAGTTCATACAATCAGATCCATTATTGTTCCGGACATAAGTCACCGTCCTCGCGCCAAAACAAACCAAAAACGGCGAAATCAGCCCTTTTCAAATAGCCCCAGCACCCACAGTTTTAAAAAATAATAATACTTGTATAGTCCTGTACCCAAAAGATAGTCTGGTCTATACGCGCCCCGTACCAGCCGTGTGGCACTGAAAGGATAAGCGAGATTGTTGTTAGCCGAGGCTTTCTTATCGCTAGAATCGATATCCCAAAATTTCAGCAACGGAGTCGAAGCTTTCACCAAATTTCATTAAGTTTATGCATTGGGCCTCACCCACACTGGAATGATAGAGCGCAGCTATGATACAGAGCAAGGCGGAGGTGGTCCATCGTTCTCCTAGATTTTTAATGGAAAGGAGAAGGTAATAGTATTACATAACTAACGATCCGTAATGACAGCAGAACTAAGACATACATCGCATGCATTGCAGCCATGACAAAGAAACCAGCAACGAAGACAGTCCTAAATCAATAAGGAAAATCGTAAGAAATAAAAAAAAAACAGACTACTGACTAGAAAGATCTGAATAAGAAAAGGGGAGACGGGTTGGAAAAGATAAACAAATGGATGACCACAAGGCACAAGATGCGTGGTAAAGATTATTGGAAAAACCCCGGACACTTGTCTTTCGCCACTTCCGTCAAATCTCTTATGAGGCCCACTTCGTCGATGATATCCGCTGTTTTTGAGTACTTTACGACTGATCGGAGGGCATTCTTGCATACAATATAAACCTTCTGTTGCGGAAGGCCGACTTGGTGCAAAAGGGCTCGGAAATTATTGCGCGTATCAGCAATATACCTCTCAAAGGCTTCCAATAAACGATCCCTCTCCTTCTCCTCGCTGTCATCTTCGTCGTCGCTGTCACCGTCGTCGTCCTCCATGAGATTCCCGATATGTTGATCCGATTTTGATCGCACAACGAATGCAGGAATATCGAAGCGTAGGCAATGAAAGAGGAGCTCAACGTCTGTCTGGGTAAAGCGATCGCCAGCTATAACTATGATGGCATTAAAGATGTACAAGCCTTGGTCGTTGAAATATTGCCAGTTACGGAAATTTACAGTGCCAGCTCCAGGTACGTCGTACCAGGCCAGCCACTGTCGAGAGGGATCTGGATCGTCATATCGTTTGATCTCTGTAGTCGTTTCGCTGGTTCCGGTTTTGGCGATACCCCCCTTGGGGGAATTTGAATTCTTGAGACCACGAAGAGCATTGATCAATGAGGATTTTCCACATCCAGAACAGCCGGTGATAGCGACATGCAAGTAGCCTTCCTGATATCCAAGCTTTTTTCTCATAACCTGAAACTCCTCCCCAGTGGGGTATTTAACGGGCGGAATTCCTTCCTGCAGGTTTCTTTCGGCTTCTTCTCGTAGGTATATTTCTTTCTCCACCCTTTCCCTCGCTTCTTCCTCTGTTTTTCTCGCTAGTTCCTCCATCTTCTTTCTTTCTTCTTCGGATCTTATCTGCTCCTGGAGCGCGCGCAGTTCCTCCTGCATCCTATGGGCCTCCTCCAACCTCTGCAACTCCTCTTCCTTTTCTGCCTGAATCCTTCTCATCTCCCTCTTGTGATTCTCAGCCTGTAGCCTCTCCTTTTCGTCTTGCACTCTCTGCAACTCCTGCTGGTGTTCCCTCTGCTTCCTCGCTTGTTCTTCGCGCAATCTCAACTCGTTGGCATGTTTCTCGGCCATCGCTCTCTCCTTTTCCTGCTGCATCCTATCCCTCTCCTCCTGTGCTCTCTTCATGTCCTCCTCATGTTCCCTCTGCTTCCTTGCCTGTTCTTCGAGCAATCTCAACTCGGTGGCATGTTTCTCGGCCATCGCTCTCTCCTTTTCTTGCTGCATCCTATCCCTCTCCTCCTGTGCTCTCTTCATGTCCTCCTGGTGCTGCAAAGTCAGAGCCTTCTCCCTCTCTGCTTGTGCGTGCCGTTCCGCTTCTAGCTCTCTTTGACTCTCAGCCGCAATTCGGTCTCTTTCAGATTCGAGCCATCGCCTGTGGGCTTCGGCCCCCTCGTGCTGCCTTCGACTCCTTTCCCTCTCTTCATGAAGCTCATGCTCATAATGCTGCGTATTGTCAGTGAAGTGATTTCAGCAAATGGGAGGTCTAGGATGGGCCGTTATTACCGAGTTATTGTTACCCATCTCGTAGAACAGGGTGTGGTAGATATGGTGTTGAAAGGCAGATGTGGGGTCTGGGCCCCCGGATTAAGGTCAGATCGTTCCCCGGAAACTATCAGGCGAAAATGGTTACACCTGAAACTGGGTTCACCTTAGTCTCAATAAAACCCAGGACACCAAAAAGGAAGGTAATTCTGCATACACCTTGGCGTAGAAACTAGAATAACTAGATGCGTGATATAGCGGCAGCGACCCTGGTATTTGGGACAGAGAAAGTTGGCTGATATGCGATGTTGCTGTAAAGGCCTGTAGAGAAAGCACAGGACAACACCCCTTTAAACAGTGTCTGTAAACCGATCGACATATTCAGGCAAGCAGCCTAACACTAGCTACCACATCGTAGCTGCAATAGTTTCATCCTTGTATAGTTTGAGCACGGCTCGTGATCGTTGGAGGCCTAACGCGCTGCTTTAGGTATGGTGCGCACACTCTTAAAGGTGATATGGCGGCATACGGAAGTGGAACAATTGTGGCTGCAATAGGACTCATGGGCCAATGAGAGGGCCATTCTGCTGCATCACTGCCACGGATCAGTCAGGTTTGCTTTTCTGGGAGTATAAATGGGTATAATACTGTTCCACTTTGTTCAGTCTTGGCGCATTTTACATACAAAAATACGCAATTTCAACTTCCTAAGGCTTTACAACCCAGACAGATATTAAAATTCTGGAAAAATAAAACGAACGTTCATCACTATTACTATACTTCTATTTTTCCACTTTTTTGATATCATTTTTGGTGGTGAAGTTATAGGCGATTGACTTTCTGCCACTTTGGATTACCTTTAAAAATAAACGGACCATAGAGCCATCAGCTTACTTGCATCCATCTATTGCATAAGGTTGAGTTTCACTGGGCACCAGAAAATCTATTACAGTCACACCTCGTTAAGTCGTTAGCGTATTCTGGGAGCCAAACCCTACGAGATAGCATATATAAGAGACAGTAAATGGTTTTTGGTGGAGAAAGGCAATACCTGTCCCGTAAATCCGTAGGAGACAGCAAGAGATCCAAATTAATGCCGAAAACCACTCCCCTTAGAGTAAGTGATGATCAGAGTAGATCAACACAGGGTTTCCAAAGGTTCACCCGTTCTACCAAACAAACCGGTTTTGGTAAACCGGTTTAGTTAATATCTCGGTTCAGTTCTTGTCTTTGAGCTAATTCGGTTTGAACGGTTCATCACAATCAAAACCCGGTTCAGACCGGTTTACTAAACGGTTCTATCATGCGGGTACCCGTCACATAGAGGACGTATTTCCTGACTTTGGCTGGTTTTTGGGCGGGCTCAATTGCACCTAATAAACCAAGAAACGAACTCTAAAAAAAGATCTAGTTTATGAACCTGCAAACGAAACAAAACAACTGTTCCAGTTCTTAAACCGGTTTAGAGAACCAATATCCAGTTCAGTTCAGTTCAGCTCGGCTGGACATGTAATTCGATTCAGTTCGGTATGGTATGACCTCCGAATACAACCGGTTTCAACCGTTGGAATCACTGGGGCCCATCGATCAACAGAGATAGAGCCCGTTACATACCCACCCGGACAGTTTTATACCCATTCATACCCCGCTTCCAGCCATGAGAAATGTTCCTATTGGTTGAATAGCAACTGTAGGGACCATATTGGGTGCCACCTTTCCGACTGTGCGCCCTAGACTAGGCTCCCGCTGTGAGTGAGATGGACTACTGAGGGGAATGATAAATGAGTGGTTTTCTAGAGACCCTGATAATGGTGGCCATGGTGTACAGCAACCTTCCTCTCTAGAAACCGTTAGCTTGATCATTCCCCCCCATATATACTCCGATACCTGGGGCCAGTGACTCCATCCAAACCCAAATGAACCGATACCAGCCTGCCCACCCGTCCACGCTCATCATGGATATCAACCCCTCCCTATCGGGCCCGATGGACACGAGCCATCTTCTACTCGCTGTCAGCAATTCCCTCACCACCACAGCCCTCATGACCCGCGAACCCAGCACGTTCCGAGCTGCCCTGGCCCTAGCAATCACCGCCTTTAACCAATCCGAGGGTCACTGCTCTTTGCCCCCCTCCGCCTACCATCACTTCGCTCGCCTGCTCCTCGAGCAGTGCCGTAACACCGAGAGCCCCTACGTCCTCATCCAGGCCACCGCCCTGCTCAAAGCGCCTGCAGCCGCACCACTGCCCCCCGCTCTTGAAAGAAGGCTATCGGACTGCTACACTACTCTCTCCTGTATGAGAGGCGCCAAGGCCCCAGAGCTCCTCTTTCTTGCTATCGACCACGGATATCAAGCGCTGCGGTGCACAGCCCTAGAGCATCTAGGCTACAGGGGGCAACTGCGGATGCTGGCACTCCTCCACCATCATCGCTGGAATTGGTATGCCGGCACGGCAGTGGGTGAAGAGATGGATACCGAGCAGGATCTTAACCTCGCGATCAAGATTGCCGGCGCGGCGCTCAAGTTAAAAAAGAAGCCAGGAAAGAGTCGCCGTGAGGTGTTGGAAACTATCAGGGCGCACAAGGGCAAAGACGTGGCCGGGAGGCGGGTGGTCATCGCCGAAGAGGAGGAAGACGAGGAGGAAGAGGAGGAGGAGAAGGAGGAGGAGGAGGAGGAGAAGGAGAAGGAGGAACAGGAGGTGGAGGATGGGGATCCGCTCTGCGATATTCTCAGAATGGAGCTAGCAATCTATCACAGCCAGCGCTACGATCTCCGGAGGTCTCCCACCGACCTCGATATGGGTATTACTTATGCGGAGGAGGCGCTCGCCGATGATAACAAGAGCACCGCGGCCCTGACCCGCCATGTTCTCAGAAAGCTACTTACATATCGCTACCCACTACGCAAGGGCCTTAAGGACCTCACCGCGGCGATTGAGCTGATAACCCTTATGAAGGACTCCACCCCCAGCAGCGACCTCGCCGCCATCACATCATTCCAGTGGGACCTATCCAGATTGCACAGAGAGCGGTACACTCGGTTGAGATGTGAGGATGACCTGCACACTGCCCTCGAGTACACCACGGCCCTGACCACTACGGACCCTTTGGGGGGGGTGCCATGCATACGGTACAAGCTCCTTCTGCACACTGCGTGGCTATTGGGGAAGCGGTTCGAACTGGAGGGCGGACGGGGGGACATTGACACGGCGATAGAGAAGTGTAAAGATGGCCTGGAGCTGGCGTGGAAGGCAAGTAATGGGGTGGAGTACAGGAAGGGATGTTTGCTCAGGCAACTGCTTCACCAGCGCTTTCACAGATTTGGGGATATAGTGGATCTTGACGCTGCAATTCATGGTGCAGAGGCCGAGCTGTCGAGGCTTGTGCCGGGGGGCGAGGAGCACCGGCTCCTCCAGGTCGAGCTGCGGGAGTATGAGTGTGAAAAGAGGAATAGGTGGGAGGGTGTTGCGGGTCGAGGTCACCAATTGCAAGCTGGGGAGGATGATTACGGACAACTACAGCAGGAGGCCGCAGACTCCATTGGATGCCGACACCCTATCATACTCGGAGGACTGGCTGCTCGATTCTTTGTTCACTGGGAGAACACGGATGACCCTGAGGCACTCCGTATGGCGGTGAAGTTTAGCCGCTCAGCGGTCGAGGCCACCGACGATGAGGTAGAGGAGGAGGAGAAAGGGGGGGGCGGAGGTCATAGGTACCCCAAGGTTTTGCATACCCTGGGCCTCTACCTCGAGGCACAGTCCCAACACCTCCACTCCCTCGACGACCTTGAGGAAGCAATCGAGTTCAGCGCCAGGCAGATGAGTCTCACGCCGGACGATCCATATACACTGCTAGGACTGGCCACCAAGCTCCTCGGACGTTATGGTCACACCGACGAGATGTTCGACCTCGACGCAGCCATCGCCACCTGTACCCTCGCCGACGCCCGCGCCCCAGAAACTCACATAATCCGTCCCTCAGTCCTTCTAATGCTCAGTCGGGCCTGGGAGAGTCTCTACGACCGGACTGACCACTCGGCCAACCTCGAGAGCGCAATCACAGCGGCCGAGCAGGCACTTCACCTCACACCGCCGAACGAATTATTCCATACTACTCTCATTGCGAGACTCGGGAATCTCGTCGGACAACGCTATAACGACACAGATGCGCGGAGTGACCTTGATCTCTCGACGGAACTCACAGAGGCCGCGATGAAGGCCTGTCCCCCCGACCGCTCACTGTACACCAGGCTCCACCTAACCCAGGGCATCGACTATATCAAGCGCTACACCCGGTTTGGGGAACTCGACGACCTCAAAAAGGCAGAGGCGCTGATCGAGAAAGCACTCGCCCTGATGCAGATGCAGCCGGGCCACCCCTCGCGTTCGAGGGCGCTCTTGCACTTGAACTTTATCAATTTCCACATGCACCGAGAGACCCACGACCCTGCGCATCTAGTCAAGGCCATAGAGCTCAATGCGCTCTGCGCAGAGACACTACCCCCAGAACACTCGATGCACCGCAATCGCAATCTCACGCTCGCCAGAGCCCGTCTAGCGCTCTACATGGACCATACACATGACAATGGGGACCTGGCGCTCGCAATAGAAAGCGCCGAGATGGCGGCTGAGGCGTCAACGCCAGTGGGGCGCGCGGATGCCTACAAGACGCTAGGAATGTGCCTAGTGGCAGCCGACACGCCGGAGGGATACAACCGGGCAGCGCGGGCATTCATGCAAGGCTGGCAGAGCATCTTCTCAAACCCCAGAGAGCGGATGTACTGCGCCAGCGAGACAGCTAGTATGCTTGTAGGGGCCGGTATGTGGGAGCAGGCCAGCAGGATGGCCGACGAAGCGGTCATGCTCCTTCCAAGCATGAGTCCGCGGTCGTTGGAACGCCGCGACCAGCAGAGGGTGTTGGGGAGGGAGGCCCGCCTAGCGCCCATTGCGGCTATGGTGGCGCTGCGGGCGGGCAGAGGGGCCGGCCATGCGTTGAGGATGCTCGAGTTTGGCAGAGGCGTTATGCTCGGGTATATCATTGACAACCGCAGTGACATATCCAACTTGCGCAGAGGTCGCCCTGAATTGGCGGATAGGTTTGAGGGGCTGCGACGGGCTCTGGACTCGTCGGCAAAGGAAGGAGCTGAGCAGGAGGGGACACCCATCGCCGCTGCTGGCAGGCGTGTGCATTATTATGGCATACCAAGGAGGCAGAAGCTATTGAACGATATAGATGAATTATTGAGGGAGATCAGACGCATCGAGGGCTACGAGGGATTCCTACTACCACCAGGGGAGCAGGAGATGATGAAGCTGGCAGAGTCTGGGCCGGTGGTGGTAGTGCTCCCGCTCGTTAGCAGCTATGCTATAATCATCACCACCACGGAGATCAAATCAATCAGTCTCCCCAAGCTGGACGATGAGGGGCTGGACAGTGTAGTAAGCCGTCTCTGTGAGATGTGGAGGCTGGTCGAAGGTCCCATCCGGACATACGACGAGCGGAACAAGAAGATGGGGGCCTTGCTCCTCTGGCTCTGGGACGCCGTGGTGGAGCCGATCCTGGAGGAGCTGCAGATTCATGCCCCGCCCCCAGAGATTGAGTCCAATGCCTCACTTCTCCCGCACATATGGTGGATTGGTGTCAGCTTTCTGGGCGCAATGCCGTTCCATGCCGCCGGCGACCATTCCCCCGGATCGAACAGAAACACCATCAGTCGCGTGGTCTCATCGTATATCCCAACTCTGAAGGCACTTGCATACGCCCGTCAGAGGTCGCCCACTGCCACAAGCCTGATTGACAACGAGAGGGACGAGAAGAAGAACCTCGATTCACAGCACAGCATCCTGCTAGTCACAATGGACACCACTCCTGGTGAAGGCCAACTCAAAAAGGTGACGAACGAGGCGGCAAACCTCAAAGCCATCGCAGAAGGAGCGGGTGCAAAGGCCACGGTGCTTCCACAGCCGAGTGCATCACGCGTACTGGACGAGCTCCAGCGCTACGACGTGGTGCATTTCGCATGTCACGGGGTCACCGACAGCGCAGACCCGTCCAAGAGCGCTCTGTTGCTACTGAGCGAGGATGGTAAGAGCGTGAGTAGATTACTGGTGGAGAAGGTGGCTGATATCAATTCACTGAGGGCAAGGTTGGCGTATCTGTCGGCGTGCAAAACGGCGGACAGCGGCAAGGCAATAAGGCTAGCAGATGAGAACATACACCTGGCGGGGGCGTTTCAGTTGGCGGGTTTTGCGCATGTGGTGGCGACGATGTGGACGGGGGGCGACAGGGCATGCATGGAGGTGGCAGAAGACTTTTATAAAGGGTTGTATCGCGTAGGGGGGCATGGGAACGTGGGGAGGGAGGTTCATGCGGCGGTGAGGAAGTTGAGGGAGAAGAAACCGGGCAAGTACTTGCAGTGGGCGCCATTCATTCATACGGGTCCGTAGATTACACAAGGATTACAGGAAGGGTGAGCGGAGGACTCGAGATATTCCGACTTTGATCATCCTGTGCTTGTGATCTACCTGTTGATTATAATGACATAGCTCGAGAAGACCAATGATTTTTTAGTTGATTATGCTGGTATAGGTTTGGAAAACCAATGATCTAAATTTAGTTGATTGATCCTTCGCGATTAAATACCAGTTCTGTCCACCACACGTGGACTTCACTGGCACAGCTTGAAATCCACCTAGCTAGGGGTAAGCCAGCTCACGACCGCGAGGGAACCTATTCCGAGCTTTGGGTTGGTTCGATCGGATCTGCTCATGCCTATGCTTCGGGTCGAGCAATTGCAAGTAACTACAAAAATTCGGAATTTGGGATTGTATAGTAAAAGCCCAAAGTTAGAGATCCCTCAAGCGGACATAAATAGGCGAGATTGTCTAGTGTTGTCATTCAGTATACTGAAAGCTTGTACAATCACCCCCCTGCCACAGAGGTTCCTGCTCCTTCCCCCTATATGGCTCAGATAAGACCTACAAGCATGCCTATTAACGAGAATGTCAACAGTTATTAAAGAGAAGTCTAGCAGTAAGCCTCAGAACAAGCTTTAGGACCTCCGTCTCTGCTAACATTTTACTACACTACTGGTACTGCTACCCATCGTCGCCCCACAGTTAGCTCGTTGGTCAATCACATTACTCCTCGCTCCCATAGAATGATGCACTCACGTGATTTAAAGACTAATCTACAACCACGCTCTTATACCATCCATCACTCACGCATCCCTCCCGTTACCAGCTTACTGTGCCCAACAGCCAGATCGACTATATCATTATTGTCAGCTGAATAATATATCCCCACCTCCTCCTTCTCCCAGAATGGCCCAGGAACGCGACAAGTGCTGGCCCCATGGCATACTGCTCACCCTCCTTACCCTGCAGCTCATGCTGGCTGTGGTAAGCCCTGTTCTAAGCCCTGTCCTTGCAGCGTACTCCAAGAGCGCCGTCTCCCCCTTCACCTTACTGTCCCTCTTTCTCTCCAATTAACCTCCTTCTGCAGCACGTATCCCATGGACCGTAACTGGTTTTGCACGGGATTCCGTGCAAACCTGGTATGCTTTGATTAGTTTTACCTTAAGTAGAGCCGCAGTTAAATTGAAGACAGTTGTATGCTCATATCTAGAAGTCTCAAGGAATATAGAAATAATTTTCTAATTTAGATACGATTTCTTGATCTGTAGTTCTGACTGAATAAATTGAAAACTCTTGAAATAGGGCGCTCGGCACGTTTCATAGTATTGGAGGGTTCTCATTATTTCATTATATTTGTCATCGGCGCAGGACTCGCTTTCCTATTAGTCATCCTATTACTCATACGCTCATGACTCATTATATCTCTTTTTGTACTACCCTTCTTTAGTATAAATACGGGGCATTCCCCCTTAGCTAGAGCGATTAACGCGGTCAATACTTCACTCCTCTATACATACAGCCACTCAGCAAAAGTGTTCGTGATATAGTTTTAATGTCAGTGCGCAGTGCGGCGCACACGTAATACTGATGTTATTAAAGTTGAGATTCAAAACAACGAAAAATATATAATATGGTTCGTGACTATATATAAAAAGAAGATAAGTCATTGATCTTATTCTTCATTAATTGGGGCGCCATTGGTCACTGGGAAAGTCTTCTCTTGGGGAGCTCTTGATGGTCCGCCGCGGTAACAAATGGAGAAATGTCTCACTCCGAAATAGGAATCACGAACACTTTTGCAGAGTGGCTGTACCTTCTCTAAAAACCTCATAGGTTTACACTTGAAAATGCAAAAAGTGGGAATGTAGATACTTATCCACTTTATCTATATGAATTCTGATACATATTTTATTATTAGATAGCGCTTGATAACTGATCCCTATCTTGTTTGGATTTATTTCGATTTTATTGGTCCCAGTATAAAATAAAAGACATCGAAAATTGGTGAATTTGGGATCCTTTGCCATGTTCTGAAATATTTATCTCCGTGTAAATCTTGTCACCCTGTACATTTGAGGTCCATTTCTATGCATTTACCATGGTACAAATCAATGAATAAATACTACAAAAATGCAAACTCAAGTGCAATAGAGCCATTATTATCTGGCAATCATCTTCTGCAGGTTTCAGGGGGCATAAAGGAACCAATCTAGAGTTACAGCAGTTGGGTTAATTTATGTGGCAAATCTGCACCGGATTTCGTGCAGAATCGCTCAGTTACGGTTCATGGGATATCTTCGCCTACATTCTTACTCTCGGCTTGCTGACAGGCCTATACATCGTCCCCTGTCTGGTTTGCTACTGTTCCGGTAGATTGGACCCGTTCTCTGCTGCGTGGATGGATTTTGGTGCCATGTTTATGTGGGCATATGGCCTCGTCATCACGGTGGTTGGGCCTGATTTTCACGACCATAGAATGGGCCTCTGGTTGCGAATAATGCTGTCGATGCAGTTGGCCGAACTGTGAGTATTCCCTTTCCGGGCATGTGTGGGGGGTGGATGTGTGTGGCCAGGCGTGTCTGTTTGTGTCTGGGGCTGGTAGATGCTGATTGTATGGGCGTAGATTTCTCTTTGTAGAGACGACCGGCATTGCTCTGATGGTTATGGAGAGGGAGAAGCAGACGGCAAAGATGGCCGAGCCGGCGGGGGCCGGGGTGAAGCCCGCACCAGCGTCGGAGCCCACCGTACCTGGATTGTTAGAGGCGCCAGTGTGATCTCTATCAATGTGTCTAGTGGTGGGTGCTCTTTGACTACGCAGTGCCGGGAAAGATACTTTGTATGTAAAGTGATATCAGTCTTCCTTACCCGTATATGCTTGTATCGGCGGTATTCTTGATGTGCTCGAACGGTAGACGATCAGATGGATACATGCTCCTCCATATATGTATATGCCACTCATGCGCTTAAGAAAGGTGATAGAATATACATTATGTACTCCTGCATTTTGGATAAACACCGCACTGCCGAAACTTGTCGATGGCATCTCAAAATGCATCAGATAACACACATGCACTTGCTATACCATGTCTCATCATCCAATAGTAACGTGTTCTCTTCACCAGCCAGAAGCCAGCCCAAGCTCGTCTCGTACACCATGCCGTTGTTTGGTGCTCATGCTGACTATCCTCCACTAGGCCCAATTAAATCTCTCAATTCTTTTTTTTTTTTTTGTTTAATTCATTAATTGCATGCAAAAATCTCTTAATTCAATTCCTTCAAGGTTTTATGAAGGTTAGTTGGTGTATTTACCTCCGCCGACTATGGAACCCAGAGTTCAGGGCGATCACAGGATATCACTCGTCCAAGTTCCTCATGCATTCAATTCCTTTTTTTGTTTTTGTTTTGTTTTGTTTTGTTTAATTCATTAATTCATTCAATTCCTGTCGTTGATGTTAATTCGTAAATGGAATCCAACTTGGAAGCTATGAGGATTCTGTTCTCCATATGTTTACCAGTACAGGGTTTAACTAAATGGGTGGAGTACCCAACTGGTAATGCCCAGGCCAGAAGGTTCCCTGCCATATTCTAACTATGTGGCGAGGTCGGTCCGTGCCCAATAGTTCCCAGAAGGCCCCTGAGTAACCTGTGATAAAATACCTTCGGATATATTGAGGAGCATTATATCATTATTATGAAGATAAAAACTTGGAAATGTAGAGTCTTCCATTCATTAATAGTCGTTGCATATATACGCGAAGATTTCGGCGTTTCAAGAACATGAAACTTGGAGGTGCCTGAGTTATGTAGCTCCTCGACGAACAAGATTAGGCAATTGATCATTAATGCTTCTAGTATTTCTCCCGGTACCGGTAACATGCTCTGCCCCATTCGAGAATTGCGCTCATTCGCTAACCAACTCCCACGGTGCGAACAGTTGATGAACGGCATGTTTTTTGTTTAATATTGCTTTTGATGAACCATGTAAGTAATTCTCAGGTTATTTCTTCTAAATTCCAAACTCAAGCTGCCCGGCCTCGGTAATTACTGTTCAATTTTTCATTATTTAATTTAGACGCAGAAGTAGGTGTGTAATCAACGCGTTTCTCCCCGCACTCATACGGGGATCAAGTTCTGAGAATTCCCGTCGCAACTGCCTCACGAGACGTCTTAGGACTAGATTAACACGCGAGAAGTCGACCAGGTTAGTAATAATATAAGAACCTAAAGATATGCGGGCCTAGATATATGTTTATAGCGACGACGGAAATTACGCTCTTGGTGTTGAATGAGGAGAGGAAGAGGGCAAAGAGGATGGCGCGGGCGGGGGTGGGGATGCCTGTCGAGCTGATGCCAGGGGCCATATATCGTGCCAGGAATGGTGGAGGCGCCTGTGTGATTACGATTCGTGTCTTAATCTTCCCCATCCATATCCCATTTCTCTCCTTTCTAGAGAAAATATATGTAGAGAAGTAAAGGAATTGAGCGTGTTAATTATGCTAGCTAAGGTGGGAATGCCCCGTATTTATACTAAAGAAGGGTAGTACAGAAATATAATGATAGTCACGAACACGTGAGTGATAGTATGATAAATGAAATATTCCAAGACTTTCCTCTTCATCATCTCTTCTTGTCCTCTCCTTTCATACGCCATTTAGCGTATCACTTCTAGATTGCAACGCTGTATCAATACCCGTTACTATCTAGAGTAAGTTGAAAAAACAAATCTCAAGGAAAGAAAAGAGAAGAATAACCAGTCCGACCTGTCCATACGAATACCAGTTTCTTTCCCGTTGAGCTGAAGCTAAGATTCGGGGATTATAATTTGATTATTGAATGGTAGAAAGTAATAGGTACGATGCACTAGACAAAAACTCTCGAGACTCTGTTTTTTTAACCGATATGAGGGAAGTCAAGACCTTTAGGTTGGAAACACAACTAGCTTCGAAACACCGCAAAAGTTTGAAAATTGAGCATTTTCCAGGCAGAAGGTCTGATGCGTAGATTAATACAAGAATTCTATAAACTCTAACCCTAATTTTCATTTTAGTCCGGATCGAAATAAAAAACTTAACCGCATAAGGCAGTTGTGCTATGCTAAACGCCGTGAACATTTATTCTCCAATTGAGTTGATTGTCACACGCTAAAAGGATGTCCGAAGTCTATGACTGAACGAACAGTACCAGAGTTTAGCAGAGCATACTTACCAATTAAGGTTAACTTTGTCATTTCAATCCGGACTTACCGTGTAAGGGATAGTACTAGCAATCTCAGTAGTGGCGATAAACTCAGACCCCTCCGGATTCCCCGTTAATTGGTGTAATCCCCCCCCCCCCTCTCTGTCGATCCCAACCCTGCCCTTTCTGCAGCCTGGGGCGGGACTGCGGTCGCGACACCTTGCGCAACCCGCCCTGTTTTGTCTTGTGTGCATCACTCTAAGAGAGTTGTTGAAAAAACCAGGAGAAGGGTCACAGCAATGGCTAAATTCAACAAAAAAAGCGCTGATGGAAGAACCAAAACAATCTCAATATAAGCCTCACTCGCGACCACGTCATGGATCGTCACTCGTTCATGGGATGTCACTCGAGTCTCGGAACGTGAATATGAATCACAATCTGTCACTCGACTGACCAAAAACGACATGTTGAAACGGAGCACTCCGACATGGACAGCGCAGCGATATTGTACCCAGATAAAGCGTTGATATGCGCGCATATAGCATCCAGTATTGGTGGTCGTGGTGTGCTGGTAGTTTCACATCAATGAAACCATCATCCTCCACGCATCTCCATAATCCTCAAAGTTCCATCACGTGACATAAACTCTTTGGTTTCTGCATGTGCCCAATAGTAACTCATAATATATGCAAACTACAGCTCGTGGTCTCCAGATGCAAGGGTAGGCAGCTCCCCGGTTAACGGGAAACCCTAACCCCACATCACAATTACCCTAAATATCAAAATTACGGTCGCGATCGCTGCTAGTCTAAGAGGTCAATCCGTGCCTGCATATATCCATTGCACTATGTTTAGAAGGGTACATAAAGAGAATAACATATTGATACCGAGACTTGTAGCCAGACATGACTTTGGGAAGAGGGTGTGAATTGCGACGTAAATTCTTTTTCGCCATGAGACGCGGTCTATACTCTAAACGGAGTCTGCGTTCGAAATGAACACAGTCCGGGCATCGCGTAACGTTGCGCTGGGGCACAGTGTATGATACGGGCCATTCCAAGAACCAGATCCAGGTCTAGCAACCATGGAAATACAAAGAACCAGCTAATAAAACTACAAAACAGCCAAACGCTCTCCATCCTCCCCAACCCATACCTCACCTTCCCCTTCCCCTTCCCCTTCCCCTTCCCCTTCCCCTTCGCCCTCACTCTGCTCCTCCTCCAACACCACCTCGACACTATCCTCCTCATATTCCTTCCCTCTCCCAAAACAAACCCTCCACCGATTCTTCCCCAACACCCCCTTCTCCACCTTACTAGAAAACCACTTAAACCCTATCTTCCGATATTGCACCGCATACACCTGCTCTCCTTCAGCAAGCCACCCCCTCCGTTGAACCGTACCCCCCTTACGCCCCACCTCCACCCCCAACAGCTCTCCCTCCGTCGCGGACCCCCCCAATCCCCCACTATCCTTATCATTCACCGCCACCACCGCATCAACGACAGTATGAAAACCAACCACCAAATACACGCTGTCGCCATCTTCCACCGCCTCCTGCAGCCATTCTCTGACCGCCTCGTCACCGCACGCATCCCTAAACCATCTCGTGCTGTTATCCATAGAGTACGTGTATGCCTCTGTTGCAGAGAGGTCGATATTCGCCGTCTGGGTGCTGTTGTACCGAGCTGACAGGAGTTTGGTGAGACATGTCCGCAGCGTGGTGGTGCTCGTGGAGGAGATGATGTTGTAGTAGTTCTTTTGAGGGGTAACGAGAGGGTCCGGAGTGTTGGGAGGGTCGTGGTAGGACTCGTGGGGGTGGTGCGATTGAGGAGGAGACGACCGAGACGGATGGAGGTGAGGGGGAGGAGAGTGGGGGTGAAGTTTGTGGGCATCCTGGGTATGTGGGGAAATTGGTAATACGGCACGACGGGGGCAGGGTTTGATGCTCGATGGATGGATGCGCGTTCGGCTTAAGTACCTCCGCCATCTGCTGTGGAATCTACACCTCATGCAGCCAAGCAAGTTGTGTGCGTAATCCTGTGCAGCGTACATATTGTACATTGACGAACAAGGGGAGTTTGAGCCAATAGAAATCGACACTGACTGCGTCTTGACCGTTTCTTGTAATGAAAAAGCGGTATGCTATTTGTGATTTAAAATCAGACTTATGCAGTGCGCAGTCCGCGGGTACATGTATGGTGTGCCCACGCTTAAAGGTAGCGGATCGTGACGAAATGTCAATGGCTTACAACTTTTCAACGAAAAATCGTAAAAGAAAAGTGTAATAATAGAGCTCTAGTACTAGTGATGAAGTTTACTTCTATCATTGCAGAATTTTAATATCTGTCTGGGTTGTAAAGCCTTAGGAAGTTGAAATTGTGTATTTTTGTATGTAAAATACGCCAAGACTGAACAAAGTGGAACAGTATTATACCCATTTATACCCCCAAAAAAGCAAACCTAACTGATCCGTGGCAGTAATGCAGCAGAATGGCTAGAAATGGGCCCTCTTACTGGCCCATGAGGCCCTATTGCAGCCACAATTGTTCCACTTCCGTATGCCACCATATCACCTTTAAGAGTGTGCGCACCATGTACCATATGCATGCGCGATTTTTGTCCATCCGTGTTGGGCCTTAAGATATTTATTGTATGGGATTTCTCTAGAAGGGATATGCACAGCGGTAAAACGTGGTACCAACAAATAAACCTTACTGCTTTACCGCAGAATATATGTGTGACATATATTTTAATGTCATGCCTGTATATCATTCTTAGTGTCGGGACGCAGATCGATAAACTAGGCCTAACGGAGCTAACTCTAGCTCCTAACCCCCGAAACGACGTTCATATATGTCTTGAAATGCGTAAAATCACAGGATCTCACTCGGCCTTTATACTATGTAACTCCCCCCGATCTATACCGGACACCACAAAAGGCATATATTGTTTCAAACTTGACCTTCACAGTTTTCGGTGGCTTTGAATCTGATTTATGAGGAATTTCTAGAAGTAAAATGAATAACTGGGAAGAAAGGCTTGATGTGTGGGTGGGGCAGGATCGTTTGTTAATTAAAGGCTCTGACCGTATTAAGAAGCTCACAATCATTTGGTCGTCGTTTCTTCTCTGATCACATTTCCTCTTTGCCTTGCCCGGCGGTGGTATTACGGAAAAAAAGCGCCCAAGGACGCCGGCTCTTTTTTCTTCGAACCGGTACGCAGATAAGTCTAGCTTTAGAAATGCTCTCGGGCATCAAAAGGGTGGCAGTACGAGCTCGGGCATACCTCCCAAGCATGGAAAAAGAGTAGTCAGACAAGCTTTTGCGCGGTCCCGGCGTGAAACTAGTAGCCATACATTCTTGGATATGCAATTTCATTGAGGAAACCTCCCTAAAATCACCCTTCTAAATCTCCATAGACCTCCCTGCCTTGAAACAAAGGTTATGCTCAGTTGTTGAAAACTACAAAACCGCCAAACACTCTCCATCCTCCCCGAGCCACACCTCGCCTTCCACCTCACCTTCCCTTTCCCCTTCGCCCTCACCCTCCTTCTCCTCCAAGCCCGCCTCGATGCTATCCTCCACATCTTTCCTTCCTCTCTTTATATACATCCTCCACCGATTCTCCCCTAGTACCCCCTTCTTACTCGAAAACATCCTAAACTTCACCTTCCGGTATTGTACCGCATACACCTGTTCTCCCTCAGCATCCCACCCACTCCGCTGCACCGTATCCCCTTCATACCCCGCCTCCACCCCCAATATCGTCTCTCCATCCGTCGCCGACCCCCGTACTTCCCCGCCCCCACCCCCATTCACCGCCACAACCGCATCAACGACAGTATGATACCCAACCACCAAATATACGCTGTCCCCGTGCTCGACCGCCTCCTGTAGAAACGCCCTCACTTCGCTATCACCACATGCCTTTGAAAACCAGCTGTCGCTGTTGTCCATGTAGTACGTGTATGCCTGCGTGGCAGACAGGTCGATACTCTCTGTCTGGGTGCGGTGGTAGCGAGCCCCAAGCATCTTTGCGAGGCGTGTGCGCAGCGTGAGAGTGCTCGAGGAGGAGGCAAAAGCACGGTAGTTCTTTTGCGGGGAGATGAAGGGTTCGGGGATGTCTGGAGGGTCATGGTAGCGCTCGTGCGGGGAGCTGCGGTTAGTGAGGAGACGGCCGAGACGGATGGAGGGGAGGGGGAGGAGGGTGGGGGTGAAGCTGGTCAACATTGGGAGTACTAAGCTGGATTATCGTTATGGTGTGTACGGGGAGTATGGGGTGTGATGCTCGACAGGGGGACGATGCGGCTTAATTAATACCACCGCCGAGAACGCTATTCTGAGGTGTCATGTTGCTGTGGGATTTCCACTCTTGAAGCCAAGGCTGTACAGGTGTACACCACGCGCAGTCAAGTCAGTGTATTATGTACTGCCTCATTTCATGATAGGCCGATGGGAGCTATGCAATATGCAGCCTTAGTAAATTAAGGAAACCTCCACTTCGGGCCAAGGTCCTCAAAGATTGGTGGGTCATGTATGGTTGTGCATGGAGACCAATCGATAAGGGGTCAGACAATATCGAAACGCCCAATTGAAATACAGACATGTCACATTTAAGGTATGTACCATAAAGTTGCTTATCATTGACAGATATCGAGGAGCCACTCTAGGATACGCATCCTTTGGAATCCAACCGAGTACGATATTGTCACTCTAGGCGGCATTTCACTAATACCCAGTGAGATATTTTCCTCGAAATAGCAAGTTTACATGATATATTCCGTCCCCGCATTGTTTCACGCGTCATGCTGGGGCCTAGATGATCGACATCCACACTTCCTACCGTGGACGGCCTCTTCAGCCCCACCTACAGCTCTAGACCTGTGAGGAAGTCGTTACTGTCATTCACGGGGTATTGGTGGATACTGGGAGTTGGCGAATTGCTGGTAGTACCTAAATATCGTTTATCTCACTCTTCCCCACGTCGTGCACTAGACTGTCTCCATATTCCTATATTCTGCTCTACCATCATCACTAATACTCTTCTACTCTGACTTCTACCGATATGAACAATGGCGTCCACCGATGCGTGCCCCAGTCTCCACGACCAGCAGAATCACCCCTCTACAGCCGCAACTTCAACCTCGATGGAAATGCCACCCACAGATATGGATCCGCCGACGAACCACCCCACAATGCTGCCTACGGAACCCCCAGGAGCAATGGACCCCACCACAGACGACCTCATCTACATCAACCCTCACCTGGAAGGTGCTCGCCCGACCACTTACACCAGGATGTTGGAAGAATTCACGGAACAAAACCCCTCCCCCGAGGATCGTTGGTGTGACGAATTATATAAGATCCTCAAGATGGAGAGCGATAACATCCGGTCGGGTACCCACTGTATTTCAGACCTCCCAGAGCTCGCAATCCGTACTATCACGTATTCGTATCCCACCTTCATGGGCGGAATGAAACGTGTTGCTTCTTGTCGTACTGGTAGGAACTCAGAGTTAACAGTGCCAACTACGTGTGGTGTGGGGGCAGGCTGACAGCTGTAGACTATGACAAAGAGGAGAAGGGGGGGAGGATTGGAGAGGATTGGGATGACTTGAAGGGGGTTGAGTTTTACATTGTGCCGGATAATAGTGTGGAAGAAGAGGCAACCGACGATAGCAAGTATTACTCCACCCCACCAGCCGCTGTGACGGTCAATCAGGGTGAGGAACTTTGTCCATCAGCGCAGTCAAATACAATATGCACGTTCCCAAAGCCTACCACACCGACATCGAGCCCGCCAGTAGTCGAGATCGCTTCAGAGAGCGCACCCGCTGTTGAGGCCCAGCCTACAATGACATTACAAGTATCAGGTCCATCCCCACAACACGCCCAAGACGCCACCGTAGAGACTACGGAAGGCCTCACTTTCACCTACGATTTCTCCTTATTCCAAGACCGTTCCTGGCTAGCCCTGACCGTCGAAGAGGCCTCCAATGCTCTTTCCTCTACACCTCCTAGTCACCCGCACTACGCCGCTAACCTTTTCATACTCAGCCAACTTTTGCTTCTCCGCTACACCCACAAGGACTACACAAACCTCAACCAGGCACTGCAACATGCCGAATCTTCCCTCCGCCTCTTCCCCTCCTTTCTTCGCCTAATACCCCTCATGAGCATCTGCCGGATCTTGAGCCTGCAGGGTAACCAGGCCCGCGCGGACTTCGTCCAGTCTGAAGGTTTAGCCATACATACCGAGGGGAAGAGGGTCTTCACGTTGATGAGTTCAAGCCGTTTGCACGAAGAGCGCTCCTCCAGCACACAGGAGGCAGAACACCTGGAAACAGCAATAACCTATATGACTAACGAGCTGGCCACACAGAGTGGAAAAGAAAGGAGCTTGCTGTTACTGTTTCTAAGTTGTATGCACAATTACCGCTTCATAGCTACACAGGAGGCGGTGGATCTAGACATGGCCATTGAGTACCTGGCTGACATGACGGGTATAAACGCTGATCCAAAGCATCAGAGGATATTGGCAAGATACTACGTCGCCCGCTACGATATTAGTAAAGACTTGACCGACCTGGAAGCCGCTACGGCCGCTATAGAAGCTACACTGTCACATGCCAAAGAGAGCACCGTCTGTAGTGATGTTGCCCTCCGCGCGGAGGTGGCACATCAAAAGTGGCTGCATACTGACTGGAAGTATCATGTAAGGGCGGCAATCAATTGGTCAATGGCCGTCGTCGAGTACCTTGATAACGAAGAGGATATATTGTCGGTGTATGTAAAGCTCGGAGCTCAATTGCGTGGTTATTCGCGTATAACCGGTGACCGTAGAGGCCTGATGCACGCAAAGGACCTTGCTTCCAAGATGGTCCGTCGTCTGCCCGAGGGCCATGAGCTACAGGGGGTGATGGCAGAGGAGCTGGCCAGTTTGGAGTCTATGCTGGCTGGCGATTACGGGAAGGATCCAGTTGCTCATCTAGAGGCGGGACTGGAGGCTATCGATCCGGAGGAGGACCCGGAGTTGTATCTCGACCGCCTCATGGTTCTATCCGAAAACCTCATGAAGCGATTTGATCGCCATGGGAACCCGGCGGACATAACTGCTGCATTGGAAAAGCTTGAGATTGTTGTCGCTGCGACTGAGCACATAGGTTGGCGCCATGTGGTGAATCTGGATGCGTTATCATGCTACCTTCTTCGACGCTTCAATGCGCTAGGGGACCTGGCAGACCTCGACAATGCAGTGATGTATGGTGAGATGTGCTTGACTGCGGCGGCAGCTGCGCCAGAGAGTGATGGCATTCATCGTAACGTCATTCCCGTGTTACAGTTTCATCTCTGCAGCACCTACTTCGAGCGAACAAAATATAACACCGAACTCACGGACCTGGATAAAGCGCTGAAGTTGGCTACTGCGGCATCAAGGGGGATTGACGAGGGTCATCCACTATATATTTCCCGCCTGACACATATCGGCGGTCTGTATCTGCAGAGGTTTGCGAGGAGCTGTGTGAGGAAAGACATTGATACTGCAATTGCCATCGGCCAACAGGCTTTGCAGGCGGCGTTGAGGATCGACGGGGACGGGTGTGACACAAATCAGTTGGCAATGGTTAAGGGGAATATCTCCGAACTTTACAGGTCGCGGTACCTAGTGTTCAAGAGTGATGAGGAGGATATGACAGATGGGATCCACCACGGCGAAGAGGCGCTGAGATTGACACCAAGTGATCATCCGAGCTATGCAGGGCGTCTGATCCTCGTCGGTAATTGGCTACATGAACGGTATTTGCAAAATACGGGAAACAATATCGAGGATATAGATCGGGCGATTGAATACTTGAAGACTGCAATCCAGATGAGCTCGAACAGATATCAGGTGCAGATGGCAAAGTCGTTCCTGTTCGAAATGGAGACCCACCGGCGGGGCTCAGATCTCACTAACATCGCACCACTCAACGCCGAGATTGAAGCGCGCTTGAAGGCGGTGGCGGCGTTACCACCAGGCCAAAGTGTTGGAGCTGCGGCAATGAAGACCTGGCTAGCAGTACAGTATCGGGTGCGGTATGAGCGCATTGGGGACCTGGCTGATATTGAGAAAGCGGTCGAATACTCTTATGCCGCACTTTCAGATTTTCCAGGTCCTGAAGGCAGACGTGGAGCTATCCTCAGTGAGTTATCCGCCCACCTTATGAGTCGATATAAAAGGTTGGGCGCAATGGAGGATCTCGACATGAGTATTTCCATAGCTCGTGAGTCAGTCAAATGTACGCCCATCGAATCCCATCGCCGTCATGACCGCCTCATTGAGCTCTGCCAACACCTCATAGACCGCTTCCACCGCAACCCTGTGTCTTCATACGACGACCTCCTCGCCGCGATAACCCTTGGTCAACTCTGCGTGGACGCTACTGTGGGCCGTGATGGACCGGTCCATTTCCAGATCATTCTCGCCGACGCCCTACACCTCCGGCACCTCGCCATTCCAGTTTTCATCCAGGACCTTCATCGCGCAATAATATTGACCCTGAACGCCCTCATGGACCCGCGCGGCACAGGCCATATACCCACAAAGGACATCTCTTACCGCCTCGGACACCTTTATCACTCACGCTTCCGCTGCACCCAGCAGATCGACGATATTGATCTAGCCATTGAATACCTGGAACATACCCTCCGACGACTTCATAAAGACGAGCCCGCCCGTGGGAAGACTCTTGATCTTTTAGGACGCTGCTATCTTATGCGCTACCAGGCAAAGCAGAACACTGGGCCGGACGGGCAACGATCATTCCACTCCTTCCGCGAAGCATGGAATACCCTCTCTGCTCCACCAATATTACGCATCAATGGCGCACAAAGAGTGGGAGACGTCTATGCGCGCTCCGGGAGATGGGCCGATGCAGTGGTGATGTACGAGGGATGTGTAAATCTCATGCCACAGATCAGCAGACCGTTCCTCTCCCGTTCGGACCAGCAGCGACTATTAGCGACGCTCGCCGGTATTACCTCACGGGCGGCTACAGGCGCTTTGATAGCTGGAAAAGGCGCCACACACGCACTGAAGTTGCTTGAGCTAGGTCGTGGGATTATTGCGGGCTTCATCATTGATTGCCGCAGTGATATGACAAACTCACGGTCCGACCACCCAGAGCTGTGCCGTGAGTTTGCGGCATTGAGAAAGGAAATAGAGGATGGGCTTTCTACGCCAGTGCGCCCAACAGGGTGGGAGATACTCGGTCCTGAGAGTGTGATGGCGTGGAGGAAGAAGGTGATGGCCAGGATGGAGGAAGTACTAAGAACCATACGAGCTTTACCAGGATATGAAGAATTTTTAAGGCCGCCCAGTGGTAAGAGTCTCATGGAGCTCGCCGTCTCTGGGCCTCTGGTGGTGGTGAATGCAGATTTCTTTGGCTGCGACGCAATCATAATCACCAGTACTGCCATCAAGAGCATCACTCTCGAGAAATGCGACTGGGGAACAGCGCGTGAGTTGCTGGGTGGTATGAAGGATCTAGTGACAGGGGGTATCTCTACCTACGCCGACCGGACAAAGAAGACGCAGGCACTGCTTATCTGGCTATGGGACGTTATTGTCTCCCCCATTCTCACTGCACTCGGTATCACCGCCGCCCCGCCGCGGCCGCTGGGTGAGCTACCGCACATATGGTGGATGGGCACGGGTCCACTAGGCCTGGCCCCGTTTCACGCAGCGGGACACCACACGAATGGGTCTACCGAGAATACAATCAGCCGTGTCATATCCTCTTACACACCAAATCTCAAGGCGCTGCAGTACTCCCGGCAGAAGCCCGCCGAAACGATTCGAGATTTGTTACTTGTGGCCATGCCGACGACAGATGATGAGAGCGAGCTTGAGGGTGTGGAGGAGGAGCTGACAGAGATCATTGGGATTGTACAGCCCGATGTGACGACCAACATCATGGTGCAACCTGGTGTTCCGGAGGTTCTATCATCCCTCGGCAACTACCAGGCCGTCCACTTTGCCTGCCACGGTGTCACTGAGGCCGACGATCCCAGCAGCGGCGGACTTCTACTGCAGGGCGGACGACTGACCGTTGCTGATATAGCTGCAAAGAGCGGCTGCGCAATGATGGCCTATCTCTCAGCGTGCTCGACAGCTGAAACTGGAGACAGCAATCTAGTGGATGAAGGGATCACCCTAGCCAGCGCCTTCCAGATGGCGGGGTTCCGACATGTTGTTGCGACGATGTGGGAGGGGCGGGATGAGATGTGTACGGCGGTTGCAGAGAGCTTCTACGAGAGTGTGGTGAAGAAGGGGTGTGGGGTGGCGAAGGCGCTGCATGATGCTGTTGTGGAGGCCAGAGGTGAGGGAAGGCAGACGGGGAAGGTGCTGGACTGGGCGCCGTTTATACACAATGGAGCGTAGAACTTTGCTTGTGTTTCTTTTATGACTATTCTTTCTTTTCCGAGATTTTGTTTATTTTGTTTTTATTTTGGATTTAACGACGATGTATGGTTTAATGAACGATGGATTTTTTGATTTCGAGAGATTCATGCGAGTGCCCGTGGCCCTAGTTTTAGTTGTTGATCTAATGCAGTAGTCAAATAGAAGATATAACAAAAGAGTCCTAGCCAAGTAGCTCTTATAGTCTTAATGTCTGTTAAAAACGACTTCTTCGGAGAACAGCTATCTTAATCTCGTGAAGATATCATTGAATAGCATAGCTGGACAGCGAAGAGTATCGAGATATATTGCTTATCCCTTATGCTGGCATGCTGGCCGTACCCCGATATAATAGAGGAATTAAATTTGTATGCGAGATCTACTATTTGATAAGAGAGATAACAAGATCTATTAGTAAAGCCACATAAAAAGTTGCTTTTTTTTGAGAGGGTCAGCATTTGTTGCCAGCTTAAGGGATAGAAGAGTGCGATTGATACCGCAGAACGATTGCTGCATGATCCAGTCTCAACTTGACTGCTTCAAATTGGTTCCCACAAATGGGCACTCTTAGCATGCACTCAAACTTGCTCATGGTGCGCCCACTCTTAAAGGTGACCGAGAAATGAGGGAAACCCGACGGCTAATAACCTTTCAACAAAAAAAGTTAAAAGAAATCGGCTCGATAAAATTGTAGTGCTAGTGATAAAGTTCAATTATACCGAGCAGATTTTTGATATCTGTTCTAATTGTGAAGTTATTAGAGCTTGAAATTAGGTATTTTTGTATGTAAAAAGCGCCAAGACTGAACAAAGTGGAACAGTATTATACCCATTTATACCCCCAGAAAAGCAAACCTGACTGATCGTGGCAGTAATGCTAGAAATGGGCCCTCTTACTGGCCCATGAGGCCCTATTGCAGCCACAATTTTTCCACTTCCGTATGTCGCCGTGTCACCTTTAAGAGTGTGCGCACCATATGTATATTGCAAAGACTTTTGTACCTCTTGCAGTCTTCGTTCTTACATTGATGGCGCCGTGAATTGTGCAGAGTCTACGTCAAGTTGTTCAGCAAGTACTGGGGTTGACTTCAGCGGGGTACGTGCGTATGTACATGGCGGGGCGGCGGTGGCTGTTGCCGCGGGTGGGTGCATGATGCAGGTACAGTTCCTGCCAAGTAATCGTCGTCGGTTACTACTTATTGCCCCAGATCTCGTTATCTCCCTTATCAAATAACAGATCTCCCATATAAATTTAATTTCTCTATTATAGGGGGGGCAGCAATCGACAGACAAAGGGATAGGGGGCATGCAATATGCAGCGATTGACAGACGAAGGATAACTCGACAAAGTATTTTGTGAACGTGATAGAACAATAGTTCCCCTCGGCATGTAGTTAAGCGTGTCTACAACCTATTTTTTTTTTTTTTTTAATCATGTAGTTTTAATTGATTCTAGGTACAAAACTCTGCATGCAGTCATAGACTATGGCATAAAAATACCTCTCCCCGACTTAGAAACCAATTTTCACGGCCCCAGATGAACAAAAGAAAATAGGAAAGAGTTACTGCGCTAACGGACTGACTGGCTGACTGCAAGGAAACACGATAAGCTTTGGCGGCCCATATCCGACATAAGAGAGAATCCTGCTGGTTTCAAATAACCTGTTGCCCATGGAGGGTCTTTGTGGGTGCAGAGTACCCTGGTTTGGGGTGAATTTGCGGTGGCTAGGTAGAGGTGGGGGGGGAGCTGAGGGCGCTTGACATCTCAGAACCAGATAAGAGGGGGGAGATATGTTACTTTCTAGGAAAGTTCGTTTTGGTGGCGGTGATGAAGGCTCCTAGAGCTATTATGTTTGTGTGGTAACTCCAGATTTCTTCGAGGGTTTTGATTGCTGGGAGGAGTTGGGCGCGTTGGGTTGCTTATGCTTTTCAGAAGAGGATGGCATGTTCAGTGGATTCAGGTCCTTCGCCGCATCTGTCGCACTTATCAGAGAGATGGAGGTTGAGCCAGGATTTTTGGCCTTTGAGGTAGCTTTTTTGGGCTCTCATTTGGTGGATTCGAGTAGCCGTGAATTTGTGTTGGTCCATGAAGGGTTCAGGAATTGTGGTAAGGGGGGAGGTATAGTATGGGGGCGTCGGAAAGTGGTGTGCCCAGTTATCCAGCATTTGTTCTTTTGCTAGTTTTGGGAGGAGCTTGTGGTTTGTTCCTCTTGTGACAGGGTATTGGAGGAGGGAGCAGAGCTGTTCGATGGGGAGGTAGGCTACTCCTTTCATTGCCGTTGAGTTCCATTTCTTAGGTGAATTGGGACGGCCGCGTAGGAGGCGTGTGTGAGAGGGAAACCTGTCGGAAGTCAGGGTAGGGAAGGAGGGGTGGCAGCGTCCTGTCACTGGGTTGTTTAGAGGGTGGGCAAGTAGGACGCGGATGGCGAAATTTGTTTTAGATAGTGGATGTAGTTGATGAGGGGGGGGCAGTGGGCTTCAGCTCAGAGGACACGTTGGTTGGTTGGTTGCTCTGAAGTAACCGGTGGCCCATCTGAGTACCGAGTTCCAGAATTTATTGATGGCCTTGAGGGAGCTGGTGGGGGTTAGGACGGATGCCCCGTATGTGAGCATTGGGCGTATGTCGAGTAGGGTGATTTTCCTACAGTTAACTGAGGAGAGGCCCTTGCCCAGGGAGGAGAACCTCTGGAGGATTCCGAAGCTGGCCTGGGCAGAGGCTAGACGGCGGATGAAGTGGATGTTTGGGTTGAAGCTTGGGGATAGCCAGAAGCCGACCCATCTGACTTGGTGTCCTGGGTGGAAGACTTGGCTATCGAGTATGATGGGGAGGGTCCAGGTTGGCATCTGTAACGGCAACATTATCTGTTGGTTGGAATGATCGATTGAATCGTGAAGGGAAGGTATTGTGCAGTTGAATTAGGATTTGTAATGGGGTTTCTGTTATGTTCTTTTGGTTTCCGTTACGCGAGGTATGAGTCATCAACGGACTAGAGGCTGGATATATAAAGGGGTGTTGTCTCGTGCCTTCTCATGTTTTCCTTCCTTTCCTTTTCTCTTCACGGAACTTCTTGTACTTACTCCACGAATACTACTTTGTTCTACGCCTCGTCATAGGGCTCAACTAGTTAGTCATACTAGCCAGAGCCACTCCATAGTACACAGTCTCGAATACCTATTGCTACGTCTTCGCCTCGGTTGTATTCCTTGGCATCATAGTCCCTACGTCCATAGACTCCCGTTACACCAAGTTCCGTCCTCTATTGCCAACCAATACAACACCATAGTCTACCATGGCGACACATCTTCCTATTGATTATCAACAGCTAAGCGATGCCCTTCAGACCTTCTTTCAAGAACATCCCGAGGTGGATGGCAATGTTGGAATAGAAGCCTATGCACTTCTTCAACGGGCACAACATGGCCTTGCTCAGTATGCAACGGACTTACAGGAGGTGGAGAGGGAGGCTGGAAATGCGAGGGAAATGTTTGAAAGAGATCTAGCCGCTGCCAGAGGCCACCGAGTTGCTGTTGAGGTGTTTGCCCCTGATGAAGAACCAATCGGAGAGGATAATGCCCCACCGGTACCTCCAGTTCCACCTGTCCCAGTGGTCACCCAACGGTCGGCAAAACTCCCAGACCCTGAAGTATTTAGGGGAGATCGCGATCGAGAAAGACTACACCTATTCAAGCAACAGATGAGGATCAAGCTATTGGGAAATGCCGACCGCTTTCCCACACTACAGTCTAAGTTATCCTATGCACTCAGCCGATTGGAGGGTGTTGCCGCCAATCAGTTCTTACAATATGTCGGAGAAGAAGGCATCGTTTTGCCTTCCATGTTACGGTTTTATGAAATCTTGGATACTGCTTTCGGGGACCCTGATCGGATGCGTACGGCTAGGAGGAATCTTAGGAACATCCGTCAACAAAACCGAACCTTTGCTGATTACTTCGCCGAATTTCAACGGTATGCTGCCGAGTCAGAGATGGATGAAGTCTTTAGGATTGAGGCTTTGATGGAAGGCATTAATGCGGAACTCGATGAATCAATGATACACCATGAAACTACTACGACGGTAGATGCATGTGCGACACTCTTGCAGCGGTTAGATAATCGACGACGAGCGGCAGAAGCTAAGCGCGGAAATAAAAAGCCTTGGAATGCTACTGCTGCTCCGACCCCTCGCCCCCCACCGGGGAATCCTGCCCCTATTCCTCGCGCTGCCGCCCCAGCTGTCAATGCACCTGCCCCTGGGAATCATCCCTCGTTCCGCGCGGGAGGTGATGTACCGATGGATCTGTCCGGAGGACGTCGTTGCCCTACCCCTACCGAAAGAAATGCCCGCTTAGCTGAGGGCCGATGTTTCTATTGCGGAGGGGTCGGCCACATGGTTAGAGACTGCCCCCAAGCAAGGGCAACTGGAAATCAACCAAGGAGACCGGTGATGAGAGGAGCGGCATTGAGAGTAGAGGAAAATGATGGAAGCGATAACGAGTCGGCAAAAGATTTGTCCCTGCACTAAGTGGCTTAGCCCAGGGACCATTTAAGGATTTTTCTGAAATGCATATTTCTGGTTTTTCGGTATCAGAGGAGGAAATGGATGGGAACCAATTTGTAGTAACTTGTTCAATTTCCCAGAATAAAAATACTTTCGTACCCACCTACGCCCTTATTGATACCGGAGCCTCAGGATATGCTTTCATCGATGAATCTTTTGCACGCCACAACAATCTCACCATGACCCCACTCAAAATACCACGCCATGTAGACGTTATGGACGGGAGACCTATTAAGTCAGGAAAGATTACCCATATTGTTGATGTCTCGCTAGACATTCATGGCCATCGAGAGACTGCATCATGTTTTGTGACAAAGTTGGGACACTATCCGATTGTGATTGGGATACCTTGGATGCGACGCCATGACGTTACCATTCGGCCAAAGGAAAATTTACTTATCTTCGACTCTCAAAACTGCTGTCAACATTGCTCGCTTAGTGGAACTGCAATCACGGTTCATGATATATCAATTCCCCTACCTGAAACTCATACCGTTACCGTCTCAACGATCGCAAAACCTACTATTGATATTAAACAACTAATACCGAAGGAGTTCTACCGCTATATCCACATGTTTGAAGAATATGATGCTACAGCGCTTCCGCCGCATCGACCGTTCCATGATATGAACATAGTATTAGAAGAAGGCAAGCAACCACCATGGGGACCAATATATGCTTTATCCCAAACCGAGTTGAAGGCACTTTGGGACTACCTTCAAGAGAACCTACCCAAGGGAATTATCCGCCATAGTGAATCACCAGCGGGGGCACCTATACTATTTGTCAAGAAAGCTGATGGAACTCTTCGTTTATGTGTCGACTATCGGGGCCTCAATGCAATTACGATCAAGAACCGATACCCATTACCGTTATTGAAAGAAACCTTGACCAAATTGTCGAAAGCAAAATATTATAATAAATTGGATTTACGTTGGGGATATAATCAGATCAGAATAACGGAGGGGACGAATGGAAAACGGCATTCCGGACTCGATATGGACATTTTGAATATACGGTAATGCCTTTTGGATTAGCAAATGCTCCGGCTACATTTCAACATTGGATCAATGACATCCTGCGCCCCTATCTCGACCAATTTGGGACGGCCTATTTAGATGACATTCTCATCTATTCCGAATCCCTTGCAGAAACAAAGACCATATTCAAAAGATTTTAAAAGTACTTGAGGAGAACCATGTCCATCTCAAACCCGAAAAATGTGAATTTATGGTTCAAGAAACGAAATATCTCGGCCTAATCCTCACCCCAAATGGCAACAGAATGGATCCAAAGAAAGTTATTGACGTTCCGGAATGGTCCACACCGACGAATCTCCATGATGTTCAAGTATTTTTGGGATTTGCAAACTTTTATCGACGCTTTATTTTAGGATATTCGAGGATTGTCGCCCCACTTACAGCTCTAACGAAGAAAAATGTTAAATTCGAATGGACGGACGAAAGGGAGAAAGCATTTCAAACCTTGAAAGAAATGTTTACAACGGCACCTATACTAGTCCATTTCGATCCGAATCGAAAGATTGTAGTAGAAACCGATGCATCCGACTATGTTTCCGCAGGGATTCTATCACAATATGATGATGAGGGAGTTTTACATCCGGTAGCTTTCTTTTCCAAGAAACATTCCCCTGCGGAATGTAACTATGAAATCTAAGATAAAGAACTTCGAGCAATCGTACGATGTTTCGAAGAGTGGCGACATCATCTAGAAGGAGCACAATCCCCTATTGAAGTTCTTAGCGATCACCAAAACTAGAATATTTCATGACGACAAAATTACTAAATCGTCGACAAGCTCGTTGGTCTGAATTTCTTTCACGCTTCGATTTCGTTATACAATTTCGACCAGGAAAACAAGGAGCAAAACCGGATGCATTAACTAGAAGGTCAGGTGACCTACCTAAAGAGGGGAATGAACGGTTGATGCATCAGAGCCAAGTGGTTCTGAAGAGAAAAAATCTGGATGCAAAGCTAAGTTTGTTCGCGGATTCTTTATCAAATGAATCCGCTGAAGGAATGTCCACTGTGGAGGAGTTATTTTCAAAAGTTTACCAAGTTGATAGTTTCCCAAACGAGATCCTCGTTATGCTTCGAAGCGATGTTCGTCATTCAAATAAAATTTCACTTGCCGAATGTACTGAAGACAAAAACGGTCGGCTACTTTATCGAGGCGCACTCTACGTACCAAAGGACAATGACCTCCGGCTGAGACTCCTGAAAGAACATCATGACAAACCATCGGCAGGCCATCCGGGTAGAGCAAAGACCTTGGATCTCTTAAGTCGGGAGTATTATTGGCCACAAATGCGAAAAGATGTCGATCGATATGTTAGGAATGGCAATATGTGTGTCCGTAGCAAGGCACCACGTAATGCGCCTTATGGGGTACTTCGTCCCATGCCAATACCCGATGGACCATGGACGGATGTCTCAATGGATTTTGTTACCGACCTTCCGGAGAGTAGGTTATAATGCGATTCTAGTTATTGTTGATAGATAACCAAAATGCGACATCTAATACCAACAACTAAAGAGGTGGACTCGAAGGAAGTAGCAAGGCTATATATCGATAACGTTTGGAAATTACATGGACTACCTGATATGGTTGTGTCCGATAGAGGAACACAATTTGTTGCGGAATTTTGGAAGTCGCTTTGCAAACGCCTGGAAATATCTCCACGATTCTCCACCGCATTCCACCCCCAAACTGATGGACAAACTGAAAGGATCAATGCCATAATGGAACAATACCTCCGAAGCTATGTCTCCTATCAGCAAGATGATTGGGCCCGGCTGTTGGCAATGGCTGAGTTCGCAACAAATAACCATATTTCGGAAACAACAAAAGTCTCTCCTTTCTATGCCAACTCGGGAAGAATCCCAGAATGACTTTTGGTCCCTTGGAACACGGTAAAACGACAGCGGAAGATCAAGCCAACAGCATTGCAAAAGAGATGAAGGACATGGTGGAGTTTCTGAAGAGCGAAATGTTTCGGGCGCAAAGGATACAAGAGGAGTCGGCTAACCTAAATCGTTCTCCTGCCCTCGTTATCATATAGGAGATAAAGTTTTCTTGTCGACCCGCCATATTCTAACAAAGCGACCCTCCAAGAAGTTTGATTGGAAACGGATTGGCCCTTACAGCATCAAACGAATCGTCAACCCCTATGCTTATGAACTAGAACTTCCCCGCTCCATGAAGATCCATCCAGTATTCCACGTTTCATTGTTATCACCTGAAGCGGGTAACCCATTACCTGGACAACAACAGTCACCACCACCTCCAGTCGAGATCGAAGGGGAGGAAGAATGGGAAGTCGAGGATATTGTGGACTCTAGGAAACGAAGGGGTGGCTTTGAGTACCTGGTACGATACACTGGATACGATGATGCCTCTTGGCAACCGCTATCGGACCTTGAGCATTCACCTGATATTGTTCGACGGTTTCATGAACGTTATCCACAGAAACCTAATCCTACCAGGAGGTAGGCCTTAGAGGGGGCGTAGTCTGTAACGGCAATATTATATTTCGGCTAAGGTGATAGATTGGGTTGTGAAGAGAAGGAATCGCGCAGTTGGACTATGATTTGTAATGGGTTTTCTGTTATGTTCTTTCGGTTTCCGTTACGCAAGATATTAGTCATCAACAGACTAGGAGTTGGATATATAAGGGGGTGTTGTCTCGTGCCTTTTCATGTTTTCCTTCCTTTCCTCTTCTCTTCACGGAACCTCCTGTATCTACCCTCGCAACACCAAAACTTTCGAACGATAAAACTTTTGGCCTGCACCCTCGATAAAACTTTTACTCGAACACGATCCTGTATGTCAATAGACTCCGTAATCTATTGGTATCTTATCGCACATCTGTTCGTACGCGAAGTCATCCACGCTCTAGTCCCTGAGTTGTGAACTTTCTACCCCTCAAGCCCTCGCCTAAGTCTCGCGACCGCAGCGAAACCAACCAACAACCTGGCCTCACCACCCAACCCACCAAACACCGCGGGCAGGAAAAGAACTCTATCAGAAGTCTTTCCAAACCCAACTCGAACCGGAACATCAATCATGTCCCAACAAGCCTCTCTGAGCTCCTGGTTTGCAGGAGCCCCCCCCCCAGGAACCCCAGCCCCCCCACGCTTTGCCGACACCCAATCCAGTCAATCCACCCAACAAACACAGTCCACCACGATCGAGCAAACCCAACCCAGCGGCGAACCCTTCTCTATCTTCGCCGAATACACCCAATACAATGAACCATACGCACCAAAGTATGACTACATCCACCCTAGCATCGTCCCCCAAGAAACCCATGCCAGAATGGATCTCAATTACATCTCGTGGGTAATTAGAAATGCCCTCACCGTGGCGCTCGAACCCCTCAACAAGGCAACCGAACAAACCAACAAGAATCTGAAAGCCACCATCGAAGTCCTATCCGTCCAAAATGAATCCCTCAAGCACACCGTCGACACCCTGGCCAAACAAATGTTCGAAATGACAAAGAACCAGGACAAAACATCCGAGAAACTCCACCGCCTACAACACCAACTCACCAATCTCTCCATCAACAGGCACAACAACCAAATGGCCGCCGAAGGAAGAACTGCCACAACCACCGCCGCCGTCACCGCTGCCACCATCCCCGCCCCTCCCCCCGCACCCATCAATAACTCGAACCATGCTCAACATCAACCAAAAGGAAAAGGAAAAGAAACACCAATCCCACAAGCACCAAAATCCTACGCATCCATCGCAGCAGGAAACGCCAACCCCGAATACACCATGGTCACAAACAGGAGGAAGCCCAAACCTAAGGTGGACCCACTATTCAAACCGGAAGTCACCAAAATCAACAGGGAAATAGTCATCGAAACAAATAAAGAATCACCAGTCACCCCCTCCGACATCAGAACAAGAATCAACTCAAAAATCGAAAACCCAGACTGCCAGCTTATCGCCGCCAGGAAAACCTCAAAGAACAACATCGTGCTAGAAACCAAATTTGCTACCCCCGCCTCAAAAGTCTTCGAATACAAACAAGAAATTGAATCAGCCCTAAGAGAACTCAAGGTCCCCTTCGTTGACATAAGGGTCAACTCCAGATGGTCCAAATTTATCGTACACGGAATCCCAACAACAATCGGAGACGGCTATGAAGCAGGACAGGTCATGGCCTCAGAAGTCAGAAGCAACTACGGAACCACCTTCGAAATGGCACAAATCCCCAGATGGCTAAGCAGACCTGAGGCTAGAGCAGGGAAAACGCACTCGTCAATGATCATCGCACTCCCAGGACAATATACAAAAGACAACCTCGGACTGAGATATCTTACCCTATTCGACCGGCAATGCAAAATCGACAACTACCTCCCAGCCAACCCAGAAACCCAATGCTCCAAATGCTTAGAATATGGCCACCGACACGAAAGATGCTCCCACCAAACCGGGAGATGCGGACACTGTGCAGAGGACCACCAAACAAAGGAACACCCATGCTCAGAATGCCCAGGAGGTACCAGATGCATCCATACACCCATCCGATGCTACCACTGCAAGGCCCCACACAAAGCAACAGACGCCAACTGCCCAGAACGTACCAAAGCCCGCATCATAAACAAACTTGGACCAGACACAAACCCAAGCCCACTACCAATACCCATCGTCATCCCGGCCCAAGACCCCCCCCAAGAAGATGCAGCCATGGATAACACCCAATGAGTCACATCAAAAGAACAACGGCCATCGCACAGCAACTGAACTGTGCGAAAAATGAGCTTACAACAAAGTCAGTAGTGGAGGAAGCAGAACAGGACCACAACATACTTTTCCTTTTGTTACAAGAACCATGGAACAACAAAGACGGCCACCCACCGGAATCCCCTCTCTTTTACCTATTCACAGCCAGCAACAAGGGCACTAAAGCCGCCACATACATCAGGAAACACGCCAACCTGAAACCAAAACACCACTACACCCACAGTAATTTCATCGTCTCCGTCACGGTGGAAATCCAGAATCAGAAAACACAGATCCTCAACATATACTCACCAGGACGAAGCGGACCCTTCGCAGAAATCTCCAGACAGATAACCACCATCCAAAACTGCCTCGTCATGGGAGACTTCAACAGCCACCACCAACACTGGTATGGGCACAGATCCCACGACTACACCAACACAATCAGAACGGACAAACCCGGATCCAGGAAAATAAAGAGATGGATCGATCGACAAAGGCTATCCCTACTTAACGAACCAGGCGAATTCACACATTTCCCCAGAAACAACAACAGACCGACCATCATTGACTTGACTTTAGTCAAAGGACCAGTACTGGACCATGACGTCCGGTGGAACATTGACCGACATGGAGCCGGATCCGACCATGGGAAAACCATCCTACAACTACGAATAGAGAAGCCCCCCCACACCCCCAGGAGACTATGGCATCGAACGAATTGGGAAAAACTGGAAGAGAACATCTCAGGCCTCCAGTTCCCCCCCGAAGCATGGGAATGCCAGAACCACACAAAGCAATCGGTCGACTTCATACTCGAACATATAGATAACCTGATAGATCAGGTGACCCCATGGAGCCAAGGACACATCAAATCTAAGAAATGGTGGACCCCAGAGCTGAAAGAAATCAAATCAACCCTCAACACACTAGAAAGGAAAGCCAGAAACACCCAAAAGGACGAAGATAGGGAATCTTTCAGGAAAACCAGTAGAAGATGGACGGCAGCAATCCGAAAAGCCAAAGCGGAACAAAGGGAAAAAGAACTCACGGAGGCCAAGGGAAGTGCCATCTGGAAACTAATCAACACGGGGAAAAGAAGGGACACTACAATCCCAACTATACAAGGTGAAGAAACGTTTGCGGGGAAGTGCCAAGCTCTAAGAGCCCAACTCTTCCCCACAAATTGGACGTCCCCCAACAACCCCCCACTCCAAATCAGACCCCCATCCTTTGACCTTAGTGACGATTTCCAGGAAGTAACAACAGAAGAAATCACGTCCGCAATCAAATCATGCCCAGCACATTCGGCCACTGGCCCTGACAACATACCATATCCTTTCATACAGGCAACAATTAAGTCAAACACCCAACTCTTCCAGGACATGTTCTCAGCCATGCTCCGACATGGAGTCCAACCGGACCGATGGAAAGTGGCAAAATGCATACCAATCCCGAAACCAGGAAAATCCGACTACTCATCGGCCAAAGCCTACCGACCCATCTCCCTACTACAATGCTTTAGCAAAGTACTGGAAAAGATAGTGGCAACAAGATTATGCACTGCCGGAACCATCCTGGAAACCCTTAGTAAAGACCAATTCGGAGGCAGACCAACTATCTCAGCGATCGATGCCTTACTCCGCACGCTCACGCCCATCCAACAAAACCTCCTGATCAAGCGAACTACAGGAACTACCCCAGACAGACCAGCACTCCTCACAAACGACATACAAGGAGCCTTCAACTGTGTCGACCACCTCCTACTCGCCGAGATCATGACCCAACAGAGATTTCCAACATACCTGACGACCTGGTGCAAGGAATTCAACACCAATCGAACACTTCAATTCCAATTTAACCACGAACTGGAACCACCACGACCATATTCCTCAGGACTACCCCAAGGATCCCCCCTATCCCCAGTACTATTTATGATATACGCCGGGGTAATAACAGACCCCACCAACTCTCCCAAAGAAATCAACACCACCTACATCGACGACGACGCACTCATCCAACTCGCGAAGTCCCCTCTCTTCATCACCAAAAGACTCAACGAAAGGATGGAAGAAAGAATTAAGAAAGCAGAACCCCTTAACATCAAATATGAACCCCAAAAATCCGACCTCGTCTTCTTCAAACCCACAACATCAAGCACCCCGGACCCTAAGAACTCGGTAAAAATCGCAAAAGAAGAAATCCACCCCAAAGATAGACTCAAATACGTAGGAGTCTGGCTGGACTCAACGCTCTCCTTCCGACCACACATCGAAGAAACCATCGCCAAAGGCCTCATAGCCCTAGGCAGAATCAGAAACATCGCCTACCTCCCAGGATCAACAACAAAATCCATCCACCACCTCATCGTCCAAGGCTTCCTCCCCACCATCCTATGGGGATCGGAGGCATGGTGGACAGGAGCCGACCACATCCTCCGATCATTATCCCCCCTCTACAACGAAGCCGCCAGGATTATAACAGGCCTACCCCGCTGGACCAAAACCGAAAAACTACTGAAAGAGGCAGCACTTCCCCCACTCGAACACCTCCTCAACCACAAATCGCGGAAGTACGGGACGCGCATCCTCTGCCACCCTGCGGACCACCCACTCAACGAAGGACTCATCCAACTCCTCCCCACCAGAATAAAAAACATTAAAGGCACAGGCCTACATCGGATTGCATCACTCATGCTACCCTTTCAGGAACCAGGTAACCACAGAGAAAGATGGATACAAAACGATACCCTCACCAAACGAATGATAGAAGAATGGAACTCCATCCCACTCATCAACTACCACGAACCAGGAACCCTAAAAATCCCACCAAAGCGAGCAAAACTCCTCCGATCCAAAGCAAAACTCATCCACCGCATACGATGTCAAGTCACTAGGATAGACAGATATGCAGCATTTACGGAACCTGAACCCTGCCAATGCGGCTCGGAACAATCCTCCAAACACACCATGATCGACTGCCCACGATGGACACAACTACGAAGGCCACTTATGGACAAAATCCCGGGGCCGCCCACTTGGGAAAACTGGCTATTTACCAACCTCAACGTAGACCTGATTCTACAGTTTGCAACAAAAACCAACCTACTCGACTGGTACGAAATGGACGAGGAGGACCCGGAGGAATGATGATCGGTTTCTTTGGTTTTTTCTCCTTTCTTTTCTGTACCTTCTTTTAAATTTCTTTCATCGTTTCCTTTGTTTCTCTCTTATGTTTGGCGGAGGGTCCGGCGTGCGATAAGTCCTGTACTTCAAAGCAATATAAAAATCCAAATCCAAATCCTGTATCTACCCCAACGAATACTACTTTTGTTCTACGCCTCGTCATAGGGTTCAACTAGTTGTCAGACTAGATAGAGCCACTCCATAGCCCATAGTCCTGAATACCTATTGCCACGTCCTCGCCTCGGTTGTATTCCTTGGCACCATAGTCCCTACGTCCATAGACCACCGTTACAATAAAACTATCTATCTATCTATCTTGTATTTACTCCATGAATACAATTCTTGTTCTACGTCTCGTCATAGGGTTCAACTGGTTGGTCAGACCAGGCAGAGCTGTCTCATAGTCCATAGTCTCGAATATCTATCGCTACGACCTTGCCTCGGTTGTATTCCTTGGCACTATAGTCCCTACGCCCATAGACCTCCATTACATCTACTCAGTAGCAGAGCCCTTAAAGATTATTGAGTTCTAGCAATAAATCTTTGAATAATCTAAACCTGATTTCTATCTTGCATGGCCAAATCTTTCTATCGGATTCCAGCGATACGTGGAATGACTGTCCCCGTTACACAATTACAATATAGCCGCAATCATCGATCTTAATAATATAACTCTGTATTAATTCGGAGCTATAATTCTCAAAATAGGCTCCACGGGACCCTAGTCATGGTGTTTTGCCTCTTTGCTAATAAAGAACCTGTCTATGTACAATGCCATTCGTTACCGACCCAATCCTTCCAAAGTCAGGGCGCTACTGATCGCCCTTTCGCTGCACTGAGTCCTGTAGGGCGTGAAAAACTATCCACTAAACGAAGGGATTTACGCCATGTAGTCATGAGACATCACTCGCTCTCTGGAGCAGCCATCTGCAGTTTAATGTTCAGCAAGTTGATTATGTTAGGCTTCACAAGCTGTCACTCTATACAATCGTTTGACATTCGTGGAGCTTCCTGACATTGGTGTTGACCTAGTTGAGTATGCTAATATTCCCTATTCACTTAACATCACTTTTGTTTTTCCAACCGTGTTTTTTCGCGGAAAGTTGTTTTCTTGCTAGGTACATATACTCATGACGTATGCGGTTGTTGTAAGGCCCCACCACCCCTCGTACTAGATTACTATTTTAATCTCGACTTCACTACATAAAGTACATAGCCTATAGATAGCGCTAGTGAAGAGTTCAGACCTTTTTTCGGTTGTATTTTTTGCTCAGAGATTTGTTTTGCTGCACTCCTTTCGGTAGAACACCCTCGTGGTTAGAGTAGGAAGGTGTACGTCCATCTAGGTATCTGACGTATTTACCCCTCCCAGGTTCTCTCCATTAGTTATCCTTCCTCCCACCTCTCCACCTCTCACGGGTTTACCACATATTTCTTTGCTTCTTGGGAATCAGTCTGTTTCCTCGTTCCGACTGAAGCAGCTGCTGAGTCTGATCACTCACCCCGCAACACTCATTATTCACCCCGCAACACTCAAAAGAACTACACCTACTTGTAAAACGTCATTTCATATAGCACAACCCCGCAATGGCTACGCAATCAAATCTGATTATGGTGAGCAATCGATTGCCTATATCACTAAAGAAAAAAGACAATGGTGAATACTCCTACAACATGTCCTCCGGGGGGCTAGTCAGCGGCCTGTCTGGGATGACCAAAGATACAACTTTCCACTGGTTTGGCTGGCCAGGACTAGAGGTCCCAGAGGGAGATGTAGACAAGGTCACGAAAGAACTAGAAGAGAAATATCAAGCTGTGCCTATTTGGATTCCTGATGAGATGGCCGATCGACATTGTGAGTTTGTCATTTGTACATCTTTATTGACCTTACACCGTAACTAACACTTCTCAAGATAACGGATTTTCAAGTAAGTCAGTCACAACCGGTACTATCACAGCTGTTCCTAATAAGTTTTCTTAAAGACTCGATTCTTTGGCCTTTGTTCCACTACCATCCCGGCGAAATCAGCTTCGATGAGAATGCGTGGGTCGCTTATAGAGATGCGAATAGACTATTTGCCAAGGCTGTCGCCAAGTCTGTTAAGGATGGCGACCTAGTATGGGTTCACGATTATCATTTGATGCTGCTCCCGGCTATGCTAAGGGAGGAGATCGGGACGTCGGTCAAGAATGTGAAGATTGGCTTTTTCCTGCATACACCATTCCCAAGCAGTGAAATATATAGAATTCTGCCAGTCAGAGAGGAAATTCTCGAAGGAGTTTTGCATTGCGATTTGCTAGGTTTCCATACTTTTGACTACGCCAGACATTTCCTATCATCCTGCTCTCGTATATTGTAAGTTTTCTACCTCAAGGGCACAATATCCAATATCTGAATGCATAATACTGATTCTTTTAGAGGGTTGACAACCACTCCGAACGGCGTAGAATTCAAAGGGAAACTACGAACCGTGGGCGCCTTCCCCATTGGCATAGATCCCGATAAGTTCACTGAAGGCTTGCAAAAACAATCAGTCCAAGATAGAATTGCTCAACTCGAAAAAAAATTCCAGGGTGTAAAACTTATCGTGGGCGTCGATCGGTTAGATTATATTAAGGGCGTTCCTCAAAAACTGCATGCATTGGAGGTATTCTTGACCGAGCATCCGGAATGGATTGGGAAAGTTGTTCTTGTTCAAGTGGCCGTCCCGAGTAGAGGCGATGTGGAAGAATACCAAAATCTTCGGGCAGTTGTAAACGAGCTTGTGGGCCGTATCAATGGTCGATTCGGTAGGATATAACGTCCAGGTAGAAACCCTTCATAGTAGGTGCTGACGACATCAACCTAAGGCTCTGTTGAGTTTATGCCTATTCACTTCATGCATAAGAGCGTCAACTTTGAAGAACTTATCTCCCTTTACGCCGTTTCCGATGTTTGTCTTGTTAGCTCCACCCGGGACGGCATGAATCTCGTTTCTTATGAGTACATCGCGACTCAGCAAAAACGACATGGAGTTATGATTCTCTCCGAATTCACTGGCGCAGCTCAAAGTTTGAACGGAAGTATCGTTGTCAACCCATGGAACACAGAGGAATTGGCAAACGCCATACACGAGGCTATAACACTTCCTCCTGATCTGCGAGAGGCAAATCATAAAAAGCTCTATGAGTACGTTACAAAGTATACAAGGTGAGCTTTCTTGCCACTGCCTTATAAACTAGATACTAACGAGGAGAAATAAGCTCTTTCTGGGGTCAATCCTTTGTCGGCGAGCTTACTGCTATTTCTGAACAAGCCGAAAAATCGACCCAGGTGGATGCGAGTACATGATCCTAGGAAACTGTATTCACCTGTTCACCTGTCCTCGTTTTTTCTTCTTTTACTTTTTCTGTTTTGTCCTCATCTCTGATGGGGTTATTCAGCATTCTTTTCAGACCCAGAATGGAGGGCATATGAAGGAGTAGATACTGTCCCGATTTCTAAGTACAAACTTGATAATTATATAGCCGAACCATATTTGCAACTTCAAATTGATAGAAAGAAGAGGGGGGAATAGCTTAGAACGGTGAGACCATTTTGGGCGTTATCGATTCAACGCAGTTATACAAATGGTTTATTAACTCCACGAATGACCTCCCAAGGAGGACACAAGAAAACGCTTCCAAAATGAGAGTTGAAGACTAGATACATACTTGCATATTCGATCATGAGAATGGGACTACAAAGCACCTTTCACAAGCAAGCCACAGAATGTGATTCTTGTTAAAGTTGGGCGTGGATTGATGATCTGGGGACAGCTTGACCCTACCTACATGTAGTTATGATAACCAGTTAGACCGACCCTCGAACCAATAATCTTTGCTCCGTTGACTTTCAAAACAAAGTCTTCCTGTAAAATTTGCCCTTTAATTCTGCTTTCTAAAGCAGCAAGGGCAATTCAACGAGGCAAATCTTATTTACAAATATTGATGTTTTTCCAGCGCCACCTCAGATGCTCAACAACAGCGGGTATTAAACCTAACCCTGGCTTCTACCACACTAGGGGGCTTGAACCTATTTTTGTAGGACCACACCGGACTGCTCTTAATTATGGCCTTAAGGATCTAGTGGGAGCAATTGTAGCGTTTCATGTTGCACCGTTTGAAACATTGAGATATGCACATAAATAGAACTGTAGGTACCAGGAGAGTACCCACACACGCACGTACCAGCCAGTGATCGGCTCAGGAATTCGTCTAGAGTATAGGACTCTACTTCATCTCTACTCTAGCTTTAAGGAGCTCTTCTGCTATTTTACCCCCAAACCAGTACTTTCATTACAAAACTAGCCATCAGAAATATCAGAACTTTCACTACATGCCATGAAGGCCAAGGCATATTCTACTTTACAGAAGACGTATGACCAGTCACACCTTATATGTTCCACGGCTGTAAATATCCCATCTACCCAAAAGACTTCTCCGCTTAATCAAGCTCCTTTCCTTGTGTATCTATTGATAGCGAGGCTTTAGGTATACTATGAAAGCCAGGGAAACGACGACGAGGCTCTGAGATGTTGGCGCGAGTGTCTTTCTCAACTCCGAGGTCATAATACTGCGGGCTATCGACCTTGCACCGAAACCGAGAGAACACTTCTGCATTCGCTGAAAACAATGCAAGATCATTGTCAGGAAAAGGTTGACATTTTGCAAACAATGTTAACGAGCAAGAAAAATATCCAGAATAATCAAATGAGAAATACTGGTGGCAATCTGGAGAAGATTGATCCTACGAAGCCTTTACCCACAGAGTGTGCAACACCGTCTCCTACCCCGCCGGCACTACCAGAGCGGCCACATCCGCCTCGTGCTTCTACTGCGATGTCTCCGTCGTCACTTGGGGTATATTCTACACGTAGCTTTCATTCGATCAGAACGATTCCCCTCGTGGGTGTCTCAGGATTATCACGAACACCTAATCCAGAAAAAAGAGCGTTTCTATCAACCCTACGATCCTCCAAAAAGGAAAAGAAAAGTGAGACCTCACCTAAACCAGAGGGCGTTACAGCTGTGAAAGCAGCTGCCCTTGCTTGGAACTCTCTATCGCGAGCCGAGGGAGAATCCTTCGCTCGTTCACTTTCAGTCCCATTAGCGGACAATGTGCACCATACCAGAAATCATGATGGGGCTTCTGCATCAACATTTGATCTTCCTAACAGCCTACATATCACATCCTATCAACAGCGTAGCCTGCCTAGTCTTATCCCACCCAAGGGGGTGCACCGCTCCTATGATGCGGTAGTTCCTCTCGGAAATTCTGGCCAACCCTCCCTTGGTCCTTTGCCTCCACCCCCTCCACCACATAAGTGTCCCATAGGTAGATCCTTGACTTCATCTCATGAATCCCCTATGGGCTTAGGAGATGTCCACACTTCCAAACATTACCATCAGTTGGACCTGGGTGTCTCGGTGCCCATTACTTCTACTACCACTACTGCTTCTGCTGCTGCTACTACTGCTACTACTACGCCAGAACTGAACCTCTTGAAATCTAGCGTTAAACGTTCAATGATAACGAACGTGAATTCACCCCTACCCAGAAAGCCAGTTCATCATACTCTGCAGATAGCTTCAATGGAGCGAAATAACCAGCGGAACCTGCCAATTCTCAAAGATGATCTCCATCAGACGAGCTCTCAACAGTTTGGCCAAATACTCGAGAGAGAAAACAATACTTATAGCGCCGGGAATACTTCTCAAGAGACTGTATTCCAAGATGACGCCGCGACAGAACAGGGTAATCGAATAGCTAATGCACTTAAGATGATTGGTAAAGGGGTGGATATGCAGGCTGCCTTGCAAGTAGCCAATGAGATAGTCATTCAGGGGGATGAGGTCAAGTGGGATGACATTGCCGGGCTAGACGCCGCAAAACTAGCTTTGAAGGAGGCCGTTGTCTATCCATTCTTGAGGCCTGACCTATTTAGTGGCCTAAGGGAGCCTGTAAGAGGGATGCTACTGTTCGGCCCTCCAGGCACTGGTAAAACGATGATTGCCAGAGCTGTTGCGACGGAATCGAAATCCACGTTCTTCTCGATATCGGCATCTTCTTTGACGTCTAAATATGTAAGCATTGCCTTATTCCTCACATAGGAAGCCAGCTATCTAAATGGGTCTTGCAGCTTGGTGAGTCGGAGAAGCTTGTTCGAGCTCTCTTCGCTCTAGCCAAAGCACTTGCACCAAGTATCATATTTGTAGATGAGATAGATTCCCTTCTTTCTTCTAGGAATGGGAACGGTGAACATGAGGCTACCCGGCGGATCAAGACGGAATTTTTGATCCAGTGGTCTGATTTAACAAGAGCTGCCGCCGGGAATGACACTAAAATAGGAGATGCCTCAAGAGTTTTAGTATTGGCTGCTACAAACTTACCTTGGGCGATTGACGATGCTGCTAGGCGAAGGTTCGTTCGTAGGCAGTATATTCCTTTACCAGAGGGATCAACGCGGGAAAAACAACTTTTACGACTATTGAGCAACCAGAAATATAAACTTAATCACGAAGAAATGGAGCATCTTGTTAGGCTTACTGACGGTGAGTTAACAGCATTCCTGATGACTTGAGGCATTGGGCTTATATCCACATAAAGGCTTTTCCGGCTCAGACTTGACTGCGTTGGCAAAGGATGCTGCTATGGGGCCATTACGCAGTCTCGGGGAGGCATTACTTCAGATGCAGAAAGATGACATTCGTCCGATAACCTTCTCAGACTTTGAAGCCAGCCTTACTTCGATAAGACCCAGCGTAAGTAAAGAAGGACTACAATTGTTTGAAGATTGGTCAAAAAAGTATGGAGAGCAAGTGTGAGGCGGTACTCCTCATCATAGGACCACTAGTTGAAATTCAACCGAACTTCCGGACCTTTGAGAGAACTCAAGGCATGAATTTGAACATGTACAATTACTTTCTGTCTTTGAAAGATGATGAGTGGACCGGCACGCGCCCTATCGCTCGCTACGCTGATATACCATCAGTCTTTCGTGAAATTCCGCAATGGGCGTTATAGTTATAGATTGGATGTTTTAGCGGTGACACTGACATCTCAAGGTAGCAGTCTCTATCCTCTAATATTTTTACAAACCCCATGCCTACATGTAAGTAAATAGTGACCCCCACCGTAGACTATTGCCCTAAACCCCTATTTGTTTGAGGCTTGAAGACTTTTCCTTTGCCTCGAGCCATTTCTCTGGTCTTAGTTCCTTCAAGACAAGAGAATTTTCCCATAACCAAGGCTTCGCTGCAACCCTCCTTTCCTCTTTCACAGCTCGCTTTTCCTTCATTCTAGCGAGCCATTGCTCGTGGGTCTCAACTGGCTTTCGGGGTTCAGCCGTTAGAACCGGCGAGATAATTTCGGCAACCATATGTTTTTTCATTTTCGAAGAGGTTTCGGGCTCGACACGAACGACGTCGCCTTCAACGCATGCTTGATATTCATCATGGACGAGGAGGATTTTGGTCGTACATAATCCTGTACAAAATTATTAGCATTGCAACGTGTGGGAGAAAGATTGGATGTAGATATCTGACCCTTCGAATATGCTTCTCCCATTGTAGCGTAGACACGCGTACCCTGATCGTCTTTAAAGCCCGTCCGCACGAAACGACAACACCAACCGGCATTGTAGGAGGATTATGATTAGTTTTGGTGGGGTTTCGGGATGAAATAATAGTGTGCGAAATCGGACAGGACGTGAGGTTGAAATTAAGTTGATGCACTAGTGGGGCACCCACGGCACTTTCTCGATCTCGACTTAGCCGAATAAGGATGCAATTATGTATGCAGTTACATATAGTTAATTAGATGGCATTCCTATCCAATCAGCGAAGGCTTAACTTGATGGCAATCTTATAGAGTACAATAGTTAGATGATCTAGCTAGTTATTGATTATTTGGTTTTAAACTAATAATGGTTTTTTGTCCTCTCCTAACCCTAAAATCGCATATTTACATGGGCCATAAAACTATATAAATCATTCATGGTAAATTCCCCTAGTTCGAACCTGTATAAATGCCAAAAAAAAAAAAAAAAAAAAGAGAGAGAGGGAAAAAAGGGTTTCCACTTGATTCACACCAATCCGGCAAATGTTTACCCGCTTCTAAATTTATGATGATTGAAAAGAGCAGCTATGGTCCTAACCAAGGACAAGTAAGAATTCGTCGAACGAAGATTTTTAACGCTATACATTCTTATTGGACAAGACAAATTAATTGTTGCGGAGAAGATAGTATCTATAAATTAAGCTATTAGTAATGGCGCACAAACTGGGGGAACCGAAATCTATACTTGGCCATTTCATACGATGTCCTATCAAGATATTAGTTTCCTTAGATAGTGATAAATTGTGGGTTGGAGGTGTTTCAAACATACCAGCAAATGGCTGTGCTAGGCATGGTGGTGACAATGCGAGGCCTTAATCCTCTGGCAAATCCCTTCATCCCCTCCCTTTCATAAATAATCTTTGCAGCGTTAACAAGACCATCACCTACAACATGTCAGACTCTTTATAACGTCAGTTTAAGTATAGGTTTGCCCACAATTACGTATCCGCATATTGGTCGAAGTTCCTCTGGTCTGCAATAAGGTCTTGATAACGTCCAAAGGAGTGGTCATCGCTGCAGCTACGGCGCCTGCCATTCCACCAGCCACACAGTGCGAAAAGGGATCATATCTTTTAACGGGATTCAACACCTTAGAAAAGCTTTCGTATACTGTGAATTGAATCGCAGTGAATGGAATGGTCATTGCAAGAGTTGTCGGATATGAGATGTAAAACGCTCGAAATCCTTCATTACGATATACAGTACGAGCGCATTCGGTGATTGACTCGTATGTCGATCCGTGAACCTGCATGCGCTGCTTGATGACTGTATCCCGTTTTAGCGAAGGTATAATCCAATGACTGGAATATCTCACCATCAAAGGGATTCATCAAAGCATCACTGGCAATTGTGGCACAAGCTCCGGCAGTGGCTGTTACTTATAATTAGCACAGCACAGCGCGAGAGGGATATCTACCGGTACTATACCAACTGCGAATGGATGGTGTTCCGATCCATCATTACCGCCAAGCTTTTGCTTAACTGCCTCGTATGTTCCGAAATAAACCGCATGAGCAGGACCTGCGAGAAAACCCGGTTATAGGCGTTCCTTATTAAACTCTCACTGTGCTCATAACCCAAACTCGACATGCAAACGACGTATACGTACCAGCACCCAGCGCCACGCTCGCAATCCCTCTCCATAATGAACGGACGCCTTCTGTAGATGATATTTGAGCGACAGCGTTTGTGATACCTGAATACATCGCTGCTGGTGTGGGGTTGACAATTTGCATTCGGGTCTGAATACTAGTTAACTCTTGCCGTAACAGATCTTGAAGTTTGCTGGTAAACCTTTATGGCATCCACAGGATACATAACAACATGTTCCTAAGAGTAGATAGGTATTCGTCAGTCCCAGACAAAATACCAGTCAAGTCGGGCATAAAGGATATATGAACCATTATTCCAGCAAAGGCGCCGGCGACGAGGTTCGAAGCCAGACTTCCGCCTGGAAGACCTTCATATTCGATCTCCTGAAGCGGTTCATGGTCGGCCATAGGAATTGACCAAGCTTTCTACTAAACTGGTATTTGGGGAGAGCTGGGCTGCGTTTTCCAAGGAACTAAGCTGTTCCTTTTCACTAATGCTGTGTTCGAAATCCGGTAAGTAAGAGTACCGGAATCAAGATGGTAGAATGCCTACTGAGATAGGTAGAAAATTATGGAGGAAGGAAGTTTGTTAGTGAGGGAGATTGTAAAGTCACTAAGATGCGGCGAGATGCAACGTGACGTTGGGCGAAAGTTGAAGTGAAAAGGCGGTGACGGAGAATTTCGTGGGGGAAACGTTGAGTTTTTTTTCTAGAGTTGCAAGAGGCACGGCAACAACCACAAGTAAAGCTCGCCAAGGTTATCGTTACTCTTTTGCCCTGTATCGTTTTTATGTCTCCAAAGTTCTTTGTCTCTTGTTCCTCTTCCTCCTCCTCCTCTTCTTCTTGTCTTCACGTTTCCGCGGGTGTGGTTTCGCTTGATTGTACCCCGCGCGATAAGTCGGCTACTCCGCCAGAATTCAAGGTCTCAGAAGTAATAAGTTATGCGAATCTATTCACACGAATACGTGCATACATGCGTGTACATATAAGTGACCTTATTTTCAAGCTCCTAGATTATTTGTATCTATGAGTTCCGGCCCTTTTAGAAGAGGTCAGCTCTCCAATTCTTCCCATTTAAAATTACAGCTATCGATACACACGTTTCGTGATAATCAAGCGCAACTCAGGAGTGTGAACCAAGGTGATTCAACCTCAGGGAAGATTATACAAGGCTGGAAACATCTCATTAAATAGGAACAAGACGTTAATGTTACTCGTAAAACCACTGTCTGACCCTAATGTATTTTGCCTCCTATAAATTCTTCTAAACGCTAGATGATCACGATTTAAAATTATAAGACTCTATTTTTCACGGCCGTATGTAAGCACACATATTCTGAGTGGTTTGAGGCACAGTGAGGAAAGTCTTGCTCGACTACTAAGCCAATTCCATATATCCGAAAGGAGATTGTGAAAGGGGAAGCGAATTGGTAAATGAATTATGCTGAGGCTTAGGGAGAAGAAAGAAGGGAGAAGAAGAAGCTTGGGTTTTCTGAGCTTCCTTGTTTTTAAAAATGAAGGTAAGAGCATCCGAGCATTCTTAATTTACGCAATTACTACCACTCACGTAAAACGTTCTCAGCAGCAGACACTATTATTAAGTCAGCAATCGGCAGATAGAAGTTCAGTTAATATTTCGAACGTGCTACCTTTGATTCCAGTGTTATCGGGCTCAATGAATGTCTTCAAGACCTTGCCATCATCCACTATTAAAGCATATCTTTTACTTCTAGGACCGCCGAATATTGCTGTCCCGTCAAAAGCTAAATCCAATGCATTTGTAAGTTTCAAGGCAGGGTCTGCCAAAAACCGAATTCCAGCCTCTTTACTACCCTGTAAAGATTCACCCCATGCCTGCGTATGATTTCATGTGAGTTTTCCACTATCTCATAGCGCTCTAAGCCTCAGGGCATGAGCCTTTACCTTTGTAACGAAAGGATCGTTAACAGCAATAACATAGATTGGGATCTTGCGATCTGCCGATATATACCCAGGTATATGAGACGTACTGCACCCGGGCGAGAAGGCTGTAGAACAGAGTTATTTCTCGCTATAAAATTTCTCGATTCGGGCCGAAGGAATGTACCAGCAGGAACCCCGAGCAGAATTGCCTTCTTTCCCTTGAGCTCTTTTCCGATTGATATTTTGTTACCTGTAGCACAGAATCATTAATCACCGATGTCTTATCAGGCATGTAGTAGTGGTGTTAATGATTGAGGAAGTTTGTTATCGGACCTGGGGAATCTTCCATAACCTCAATATCAGGAATACGGTCGTTCACATTAATAAAAGTGCTCGCAGAAACATGGAAAGGACGTGCTGCTGCAGCTGAGAAGGTTCTTTGAAAGAATTGTGTAGATACATTGCGGAAAATAAATCTGGGGGACATGTTGATGGCTGTGTTTTATGATGGGCGGAGGCGGAAGGGATGGTTGACATTGTCAAATATGCCTTGATTTGCACAACAACCTAACCTACATGTAGTGCAGTAACTGTTCTTACATATACTCCAGACAGTATATGTAGGTACATGTATGCAGCAGGATATTGCGCCAGGAGCCTAACATCCACACGTACCTACACGTACCACCTACACCTGAACTTTACTAGTACTCAGGGTCTCGGCGCCGAGAACACCAGAATTAAGTCAATAAGTATAGCTCCTTCTCGGTAGCAAGACATATTTTTAGGGAGAGAAAAAAAAGAAAGAAAAATATTCACTTCATGATAAAATAGATTTTTGTTTGAATTAATTATTTGAGCCGTGGTGAATTAGAAATTTGCAGTTTATACCAGAGCGAGTTGTGGGTTTCAGAAGCTGGGCGCCGTACATAACCAGTACAGTCGCCCTCCGATGTAACGAATGCCACTATACCGAATATTTGCTGTACCGAACCACTTGGGCCAGCTTCTTTTTTGTTTCAGCAAAGAATTTAGTCTGCTATACCGAATAATGCCGGGTAATCTGCTGTACCGAAAAAAAAATGGCCCAATATGCACGTTCGTTATAGCGGAGGGCGACTGTACATGGAGGTACATGTAGTCTAGATGTAAGGAGTACCATAGATTCAGGCATCTAGCCCTGATCCACCTACAGTCTAGGCCAATGTAGGTAGGGTACCCAGATCAGTCACTGCCAGTGTGGCTGATCATGTCAACAATTAGCCACCATCATTGACATTGAGGTTATCGATAAGAGGTCACATGACCCTTGGACTGGAACATGCCGTATCTGAACAGTGGCGGCTGATGGAACGGGAAATTGCTTACAGAATCGGACCCGCCGGCGACCTGAGGAGTCGCGTACATACACTTACGGAAGGGATGGACGAAGCCGGGGCAATAGATCAACTTGGTC